AAGATCTCTCTTTTCCTAAATTCCCCACGAGCTATTGCAGCTCTCAGAGCAACAGGTAACTAATCAGAAAGCCGCATCTGGCTGCCCTGTATATTTTTGACGTCCAGCATTGCAAGAATATACCTGCTAAAATCCACTGACTCATGAAACATTTCTCTGGCTGAGCGTTCCTGAGTAGATGTAATGAAACAGCTTTGCCTTATGCTTTACCCATGGAGCCATTGTTTGCTACAAGTTTCGGAAGCAGGCCTACTTCATTTATTCATGAATTATCATTGGACGTCTGACGGAAATAAACCCTGTGGGCTTTTGCTGGCTTTCAGTGCTGTTGCTTACTACATCACTTCAGTACATTAGAATGCAGCATTCGTTTTTTTGTTGTTGTTGTTTTTCCTTCGGTTTTGTTTTTTGTTTGGGGGGTTGGTTTTGGGGGGGGTCTGGGGGGGTTGTTTTGTTTTTATTTTTTTGTTTTGTTTCGTTTTTCTTGTTGTTGAGACTACAGCAGTATCCCAAAGTGGCGATCATTTTCAGCCTAGAATGCTTGGGCAAATCCAGGATTTGTCTCCAGTTTTTACAGTTGAATGGTCACAGGTCAAAGTCTTGCTCCCCTAATTACCTCAACGCCAAGTCAGTCGTAGGAGTACTGTTTTCCAAGGTACTTTCGGGAGGCTGAGAACTGTGCTCCTTGCCCCTCTCCATACGGTAGTGAGAGCCTTGTAGCTACAGAAGTTGTAGTCTCTGTCCCAGTTAATTGTCTGTCCCGTCCCACGGAAGGCTGCTTTGCCTGTCTTCTGCATGGGGAAGTTCAGAAGCAAGCATAATCATAAGGGGGTTTGTTTTTAGATGACCAGGACATTCTTAGGTTCTTTACTGGCCCTGAATGAATCTCGCAGGTGTAATTCCTTTAGAGAACCCAAACCTCAGGAACCATTAGCTGCATGTACCACGCAACAGAAGTTTATTGAACATCTGTATTCTAAGCTCTATAAATACAGTGACTGGATTTTCAAGCATAATTCCAACTTCAAAAATTCTGGTCTCTATTTACCAAGTTGTGTGCTGAAAAAAAATAGGCTCATAATGCAGGTAGTATCGATGACCCCGGTTCACTTAGTTGATTGTTGGTTTTGGACTATAAAATTGAATTTTTTTTTTCCTCCATTGAATTTTTCAGTTGGGTGTTTTGTGTCATGTGAATGCAACATTTGTGAGACGTGTAGTAGTAACAGATGGATAGAAAAACAAACTTTTTTTTTTTTTTTGGAGAATGACGAGCAGGAATAATTATTACAGAAGAAGTGTACTCCTTGTAGCACATTTTGGAAATATAAGTAAGCCAGGAGAAAAGCCCAGAGGTAATAACAGCTAAACTTTTATGACCCTTCTCGTGGCAGATGTTATGTGTAGTTAACACGTGCCTTTTAGTGGTTATTCATGTCCTGACAGAGACAAGGCAACAACAAATTTCTGTAACTATTGGAAACATCTGTTTTTTAAGATTTGCTAACAAAAATTCGAGTATCAAATGTTCTAAATTACTTCAGTGATATAGTTAATTGTTGTGTGTTTCTTTAGAGGCAATAGATCATTCAGACATTACTTTTTGTCCAGTTGACATTTGACTTAAAACAAAATAAAATTAAAAATTAGGTACCTCTAGTCTATCCTAATAATCTGCCCTCAAGTAATTTAGAACTCCATTTATGACTTCAGTAGGGCAGATTGTAAAAGTCTCCCAATTTCATCTAAACATTGAGAGGTAAATTGACATCCATGTAGTCTGCCAATTGGACATTGGAGGAGGATAAAAATCTTCCCTTTCCTTGATTCTTATTCCCACTATTTTCAGATCTCAGATCCATTTTATAAAATTGATAAGTGCATTTTAAGTGGAGGAATGTTTGTTCTCCCAAACACCATAGTAAAATCAACGTAAGGTCTCATAAGGGACAGCGTCTCAGAGTTGAGGAAATATAATTGTTAGGAATATAGGTGTTAGTTGTTACCAGTTTTCAAAAATGTACGCCTCTCATGCCATGGAGATTTTCCAAATGCCTTTGGAAAAACCGATACAGTAACAGTTTTTTTTCCTCATTGTTTTGTCCTCCTGAGGTATGTTGGAGGCAGCAGGGTGGAGAGGTGAAGTCAGACAGGCCTGGGCTCAAATCCCCACTCTGCCACTTGTTAACTGAATTATTTGAGGCAGGTTGCTTCATTGCTATAAATCTCAGGTTCTGCATTTACAAACTGGAGAGAATGGGGATGTGTTGGGAGGACTAAACGAGGTAACAAATACTAAGCCTGTACGGCCATTGGATCAGAAGCCTTCTCTTCCTCTTCCCTAATTCCTCCTGAACATCTTTCTGTTAAAAAACAAAAACAAAAACAAAAAACTATGCCATTGAAGCCATTCGGGTATCATTTATCATGCTAACGTACTGTAAAAACCTCGTCCTGAAACTGAGAACTAAGTTCTCCACCATAGCTCAGGAGTGATGAAAGCCTAGAAATCATGTCGGAGATCAGGGCGTCTCCTTTTTCCAGTGTAGATGATCGTAGTCATCTCTGTGTGTGGACATGCATCTCTCCTTAACCTAGAACCAAGCGAGGCTATCGCTAGTTTATAGCAGAGTATTTACATGGTGACTTTGAAACCTCATGAAAACTTAGTTGACTTTTTAATTAGTTTCAAAAGAAATTGAAAAAAAAAAAAAAACCCTGCAAAAACAAATGTGACCATTTTAACTAAAAGAAAAACGTTTAAGATTTACCCACTATGACCAGCTGATTACAGCTTCTTTGGTATGAGACTGTATGAAACATTTCTGGCTTATAATTCACTCTCCTTTTTCTTTCATCTCAATGATGAACTTAATCTTTTTAAAGCGTTCCTCTTCACTCTAGAAAAACTGTGGGTGGATATCTGTGTTTATGCTGTCAGATTTTGAGTTCAGAATTCTTCAGATTCTAGAAATCTCATCGGTGATGGAGTCACTCTTGCATATCTGTGAATGAGTTCTGTACTGGTGCAGAAATAAAATGTCGCATTTGAAGGAGCATGCACATTTGGCGGTGGTTCAGCAACTGGGTCTGCACAAGTACAGATATTTTGCATGCCCGGAAGTAAAGGTGGCATCAATGCATGCCTTGCATTTTTCCAGCCAAAGGGCTGTTAGTATAGATATTGCATGTTTAAAAATTGAACACACAATATAGCATGTTTCAATTTTTAAAAAGCCATTTATTTATCAAGTATGCATGTCCAAAATTAGGGACCTATAATGATGCACAATTCTGTACTGTAGTACGATCCAAATTACTCTAAAACTTAATCCATGGTATATTTAATTATAAAATTTAAAACTAAATAATACCTGGATCCAGTTATGAACAGAGCAATGTGTTCTCAATGTACCTGTTAAGAAGGAAGGATTTCAGTAGTTTGGAAGATACAGTGTTGATCAAGCTGGACCTGGTGTATTTAGTAAATAAGTCAGGCAAATAAGCAAGTTTTCAAACATGAGAATTCTTTTTAGTATTAATGATAAAATAATAAAGCTTTTTTTCTGAAAGAGAGCAACTACTCTTTGAAGAGATTGTAGCAACGTTGCAGAATACTCAGAAATGATTCTGCTTGGAGGTGGTAAATTTCCTTAAATTGCTATAATAGCGTATGTGCCAGGCCTTTGAATCCCAGCCTGTGTAATATTAGCAACTTCCTACTACTTTTCAAAATGTTTTCTTCCCCCTGAGTGTTAACAAGAATCTTAGAAAGTAAAGTGGCATTTGTTTTAGAATAGAATTTAAATTGACTGGTATCACTTAAGATAACAGCAGAAACCTTATCCTTAGAGAATCAGAAAACTGTGTTTGGGGGATTACTGACCCCTTATAGGCCCACGTGAGAAAAACAGATGAGACCTTTTCTTGTTGCACTGTTGAGGTGTAGGGTATACGTGTCCCGAGAAACTGCCGCTTCTGTTCGCCTAAACCCATTCTCCCAGCCCCGTTTTGGGAAACAAATGTTACTATACGGTATGCAGAGCTACACGCTGTCTGCCTTGTACCACACCTGCTGCCTTCAGGACTTAGACCCTGAAGCCACACTCGCATTTGATGATTTTGCTATTAAGGCAAGATCTTCATTATTTGTCACTAAAAGGAAATAATCTAGCTTACAACCCCTTCCCTGGCACGCCACCTACATCAGGTGGCCATATGCAAAACCCAAGACAAAGTTTTATATTGAAAACTATAGACCGGAGGGGATCATTAACACGTAATTTGCTGATGTGAACTTCCCATGACTCTGTTGATAACAATTTCATTTAAATGTGTTTGCTACAACATGTTGGATAAATAGCACAAAGTGTACCTGCTTGGTACGCACCCCGTTGCTGTCCATCTGGGAGCACTAGGGGAAGTGACCTGAACATCTTGTAGAGTTACAATGTGGAATGGGAGGAAGGTAAGGAATAACGAAAATCAGAAAGACTCCACAATACTGCGAGCGCAGTAGTCGAGCTGTGCAGGCGTCCGATCGGCTTCAAGATACCGACAGTCTTGAGTCTGTGAGCAAAGCAGTTCAATCCCTGGGTGTGTCAGACGCGAAGTAAGTGTGTGTGCAGTTTCCCTAACTTGCCTCCTGTGGGATGGCCGGCCATTAATGGTGGTCCTACCAGGCTAAAGAGGAAAGCTAGGTGAACAGTTAACTCTTCCTAAGATGAACACGTTGCTGTCACACGTGACTTAATGCTGTAGACTTCGGTTTTGCTTTGTGTTAGGAGCACTCGCTGCAGAGTAGAGTTTCAGGAAGGGTCATGTCTTCCTCCTGGAATATTTCCCCCAGTAGTGTAGCAGGAGTTTCTTTTGCCATCAGTGTTCCCAAGGGTTTTGTCTTGGTTTTTCACTTCAGAGGGAATGGTAATGGCCTTCCCCTCACCTGGCCACGGTTTCACTATATAGCTATCACCTGGTGTTCTGTTCTGTTTCTCTTCCAGAGTGAAAGAGTTGAGAAAGGCCAAGGAACTTGAAGACATACAGCAGCATCCCTTAGCAATGTGACATTGCTTTTCAGACTGTTTTCATTTCTGTTTTTAGCAGAGACAGCAACGACACGCACACGCACGCACACACACGCACACACACAATCCCTCTGCAGTTTTGGGGAGATCAGCTGCAGGATTTTAACAGGAATGTGTTGGTCATTGCATCTGCACTTTCATGGACAACTTTTAATTTGATCAGCAAGACATCTTGGAACTCAATCTTCTGTTGGATCATGGGAAAACAAGACACCACGAGGAATTGGAAGAGGCTTCCTCTTCTTAGGAAGAAGCCAGTTTCCTTCTCATATAGGGCTGTATTCAAACATCGTGTGGAACTGTACAAATATTTATACCAAAAATATAGACAAGCAAAGGTGGGGATGCACTAGCAACAAAAGAGAATGCTGCTCCTGCACCTGTCAGTTACTTCCAAGAAGCTGAATCTTTGGGATTGATTCTCAGTGGAGGGCTTAGATCATACAAATCTTTATTGGGTCCGTGTGTTCTCATTTCCTTCACTGATCTTATTTTATTTTAATTTGTGTTTGTTTTAATCTCTACAGCACACTTAATGCAACTTTTAAAATCTGCAGGTTTTTAATGTCTTGTGGAAATTTGCAGAGGGGCGGGTGTGTGGTAAACGGGTAATGCATGGGAACTAATGAGAAACAGCTTACAGAGTTTAAATTTATTTTCTTGTCCCCACCACCTCCCAAGAACCTGCGAGTATAGTGATCATCTTGTCCCTTTTGCCATGCTCAGCACTTTAATTTTTGGGCCTTACTTTCATGTGCAATGAGATTTACTTAGAGAATTGGTACAGCATGGAGCCTTTTTTAGTAACCTTGGAAACTGTAGTCATTCTAAGGAATCATAAACCTTGCCTGGACATTTGCCACCTAAAAGATCAGTGTGGTGCTGCGTTCTGGCCAGTAAATTCCATATTTTTGGCTATAATCTCATCCAAACTGAGCAGTTTCTGTGTATATATAGAAGGTAGAAACGGAAAGTGAGAAAATATTTGAAAGGGATTATATTAATTGCTAAATATTTTATTCACAAAGGTCAATAACATGGCAAGATAAAATTATTTGTATAGTTTTGTCTGAACGAGCGAGAAAAAATGTGGATGTATTGTTTGTATATATTGTATATATTAAAACAAAGAGATATGTGCATGAAACCAAGAAAAAAGAAATGAACAAAAGCAAAGCATTAGTGGCTATGGTCTGTAAAATGAAACAAAAAAAACTTTATTTCACTATAAGAGTACTTTATTTTAAATGTTCTTTAGAAGAACATTTTGCTAAAGCATGACTAAACTGCAAAAAACAAAAAACAAAAAAAAAGAGCTACTGTATTTAGACTTAGGATAAAAGGCAGAGTAACATTACTTAAAAAAAAAAAAAAGGATATGTTTACATTTAATTTTGGCTACCAGGAGTTTATTTTATTTAATTTAAAATTTTTTTGCCAACGGTGCCAAGTAATGTGAATGCTAATATTGCTTAAGAAAATTAAGTTACTTTTGCTAAACAGATAATCATAAGATGAATCTGTGTATAGCTTAACACCATCCACTCACTCCAACAAAGAACACTTAGAACGATCAAAACCTGACAAAAGAAATAGTATGAAAAGCAGGAAAACGTCTCACGTTTTTCCTATCTCCTGCTGGAAATCAGAAAATATATCAAAAATTGCACAAAAGTAACTAAAAATTTAAAAGATGCAAACTGGTCTCGTAGGGTTGTCCTGGTCTATTACTCTTTCCATACAATGAGGAGCCAAAGAAATCTGATGCTTTTAAAAATTAAACTACTAACGTTAAATTGAGAGAATAAAGTTCGCATTTGCTGATGCCGGTTTAAAATTCCCAGGTAAAGTTTCAGGATCAGTTGGTGTAAAGCTGAGATAACAGTTTTGTTTTGTTTTTTTCTTGGTTCTGGCTGCCAACTGTAAGTTAAAGCTCAAGGCTCGTTGTGAAGCCTAAAAATATTCACAAATAAGCTTTTAAACTGGTGTCTTTAGAAGGAAGGTAGATACAAAAAGATTGTGGTAAAAACTGGGGTCAGTGCTTTTGGTGCCTTTTCTATAATTGTACTTGTTTTTTAATTACTTCCTTTCACTGCCAACCTCGGATTACTGTACAGTATATGTCTTACCGCTTGTGATCAGCTTTGACAAGTGACGGCCCCACAACCAGTAGCCACCTGTACATTTGTAAACTGACCTGGCTCGATTTTGTTTTTAAATGTGTGGGTTATTTTGCAGCTGTTGCCCTCCCCACCCCGAAATGCCTATTATTTTACCCAATTTGACCTGTAGGAGGACACTGAGTAATTTACAAACACACAAATGTATGGTAAATGGGAATAGGAAGGTGAAAGCCAGCTCTTTCAGGATATCCCATATTAGTACTGAACTTAGATACGTTTATTCCATTTATTATGGTACAAATAACTGATCTTTTGACAAGAGTAATGACCTCAGTGGATTTGCGTTAACCCTCACATTAAGTTACTCATTTTTTTTTTTTTTAATGTCTCCCATGCTACATTATTAGCCAAGTAAGTTAGAAACTTCTGGAAGGTAAAGACTTAACATAGAATTAGGAGGGTTCTTACGGAGGGGATAGGAAGTAGGTTCAGAACCTACCGGTGTAGCCTGCCAGTACAACTGAATCCTAGGTGAGGTACGAATGCACTTCCACTGAAACGACGCATTTCTGACCGCTTTTCCTTGGTTGTGAATCTTAATTTTGAATATAAGACGATAGGTAAGCGCAGCTTTCTTGGATAATCTGAATTCCCAAGTGCCAGGAGTAGGACTTCATTATAAAATTAATAGCTAATCTTATTCTGTCTCCTGAGGATTTAATTGCTATTCTTGTTACCCATTTGAAATCAGCTGTACTGTGTGAACGAAATAAAGACAATAACTCGGACCCCTCTCTGGCTGCACGGTCGCTTATGGCAGTTCCACACAGTAGTTGGCGCCCAATGGGGGGTCCCTGAGACTTGCATGTAAAACTAGTCTAGATGTCTTCTTTTTTGTAAGTTTTATTTTTGTAATTGTGCATGTGAAGCATCATTGAATCAATGGATCTGTTGAAGAACTCAGCTGCTGGAAACCATGCAAAATGTTTTGAATTGCCCTTAAAATATGGAAAATGTTTTCTGAATGCTTTATATTCTTTCTGCTGTAAATTAAAAATGAAGAAAATTTCCCCATACTATGTGTGTGCTTTGCTTTAACTTTACCTGATACTGAAATCCAGGGTGACCGGCCTGTTTCAAAGCCAGATGAGATCATCTCATGTATCTCCTTAGATCTAGAGACCGTGTTTTGGCATCGACTGTCACAGACCTTCAGACATGCCCATAAAAGAAAAATGTCTTCATAAGCCACTGCCCCTAGAACCCTTGCTTCTCAATGGTCTTCTCAGGCACCTCTCAACATACCAGTTACTTGAAACATAAAGACACCGATCTAAATTCACCACTGCCGCTAAAATCTGCTGTTTTTGAAAAGGCATTTTCCAACTGACTACTAATATCCATCTTCTTTTCTGAGAATTCTGTCATCATCTCCTTTCCTTTCGCTGCAGTGTCATCTTGTCTCCCTGGTAGTCCATCTTCCACGGAGTCCCGTGTGGATGCTCCTGCCAGACCAAGTCCGCAAGGTATCTCCCAACTCCACCAGGCCCCAGTGATTTCTAGAGCCCACTGCATTTAAATGACATTCTCCTTGCTTGTTTAGCCTCACTCTTTGTTCTGTCTTACTTTCACCTGTACCCCAACCTGCCCCTTCCGGTTGGGCGGTGCAAACCATGTCCATTTCCACTGCTGTCTGTGGTCATGTTTGTTCATCCCTTGCCTGGAGAGTTCTCTTCTTATCTACTTACCCAACTCAAATCCCACCTCCTCTGTGACACTCTTGTTCATTCCAATGCACACTGACCTTTCCCTTTTCAAATTATTACATTGACAGTCGGAAAAGACAGTTCGGTATTTAAGTATTTTAGTTTCCATTTCTCATCTCACCCGCCGGTTGACCTGGCAGTGTTTCTGCAGTGTTGCTTTTTTGTTTTGTTTTTTTAAGGTAGGCGTTGTCTACGTTGGTAGGATACTTCCAGTAACAACTTTAAATACATTGCAGAGTAACTCACTGCATTGGATTTGTGCCTCCGCCTACAGCCGACCAGAAGTTGCGGACCTACTGTGTGCCGGGGCCCGGGAATTTAGAAACACAGAAACTGACACAGCTCCTCATGGCCAGGCTCCCGAAAACAGATTGTCGTACGGCCTGTGCAGTGACAAATACTTGAGTCACAAACGAGCACACGAAGAGAGGGAGTCGAACCCTATCAGCGCCTGTGATAAATACCCCAAAGGGACTTCCGATCTCATTTTAACAAGTTTCCCTGGGAAGCGTGGGGTCCCCAGGACCACTGGGTTAACGCGGGACTTCAAGCAGAAGCACACCGTCAGGCTCCAGTACTGTCACGGCCAAGGAAATGGCTCCCGGGCCCAGAATAATGCACCACGCCCCCGACCCAATTTACCTACACAGTCCCCTTACAGCGCCTAATGCGCCACATGCCCCAGCATCGCACGGGCGGCGGCGGGCAGAGCGCGCCCCGCGCACTCAGCTCGCGCGGGACCGCCCCGCGCTCTCGGGTGGCCCCGCCCCGCGCTCTCGGGTGGCCCCGCCCCGCGCTCTCGGGTGGCCCCGCCCCGCGCTCTCGGGTGGCCCCGCCCCGCGCTCTCGGGTGGCCCCGCCCCGCGCTCTCGGGTGGCCCCGCCCCGCGCTCTCGGGTGGCCCCGCCCCGCGCTCTCGGGTGGCCCCGCCCCGCGCTCTCGGGTGGCCCCGCCCCCTTCCGGCGCGCCCCTCCGCGGCCGCGCCCGGCGACGTCATCTGCCCCGCGCCGCCGCCCCGCCCAGCTCCTGGCCTTCGGTCCCGCTGCGCCGCTGTGCTGACCGTCGCCCGCCGTCGCGAAAATGTGAGTGACGCGGCGAGACGCGGGGCGGCCTCGGACTTCTGGGGGCGGTGGCCCGCGGCTGGGACCCTCCCCCGGCTCGGTTCCCCCCCACCCCCACCCCGGCAGCCGCTCGGACGCGGGCCTGCGCGGTGGCTCCCGAGGGCCGGGGTGGGCGGTGGCCCCGCGGGTGCGGGCTGCAGGCGGGCCGAGCCAGCGCCGCGGCGCAGCTCGCAGCCCCGCGGCTGTCGGGCGATCGCGGAAGAGGCGGGGGCGGGGCGGCCGGGGGCTTCCCGGAGCTAGGAAACGCCCCCTCTTTCCCCTGGCCCTACCTGGACCCCACCCCCTTCTCCGCTTCCCTTAACCTCAGCCCGAGGCTCCCGAGAGGAGCGGTGGCCACTGCCCTAGACCTGGAGCGCCCGTTCGCCGCCTGGGGCTGGGCTGGCCTGGGCTCCGGAAGTTGCAAGGGAAAGGACCTCGGCCCTGTGTAGAGCGGACTCAGGAGCAGAGCTGTGGACCTTCCCTCTTTAAGCAGAAGCCGTCTTGCAGCGGCCCTTAAAAACATGGAGTTTTCCATGGTGACATTCAGAGGAAACTGTCAAGAGTCACAAGGACCCTCTGGCCCCTCCAGCCTGTCCATCGCTCACCTACAGAGGAGGAAGGAATGGGTGCTTCCCCCCGTTTCCTTCGAGGAGCTAGGGTCACCACTCTGGAGTGTGCCTGCTGAGGCTGCTGTGCCAGGAAATCAGTGGTTAAGGTCTAGATCCGTGGCACCGTATGGGACGTGGTCTAAAGACAGGCTCCACTGCAACCAGCCGTGTTGCCTTTCTAAACCCCACTTTACACTTCTGTAAAATGAGGTTAATAGTAGTACCCCCTTCAGAGAGTTATAAGGATTAAATGAGAAAACATACCAGTACATGGTCCTTCACTACTATCAGAGAATAAAAATAAAGTGTTAAGGGCAGGCATGGGACCTGCTACATCCCTGGTCTTTGACACATGGTAGGTATGAAAGACCTTGAATCAATGGATGCATCCGTAGCTTGTGTACAAGACACATACTAGGTGCTGTCTTGGATACAGGGAAGAAACCTCTTAGACACAGGAGTCTGTAAGGCAAGACATTACAGATGACCCTTGAACAACATGGGTTTGAACTGTGCAGGTCCACTTACACGTGGGTTTTTTCTGATAAATACAGGACTGTAAATGTATTTTCTCTGTCTTGTGATTTTCTTAACGTTTTTTCTCTAGCTTACTTCATTGTAATAACATGGTGTGTAATACATATAACATACAAATATGTGTAAACTGTGTATGTTATTGATAAGGCCTCTGGTCAACAGTAGGCTATTAGTAGTTACATTTTTGGAGGACTCAAAAGTTATATGCAGATTTTCAGTTGGGGGGAAGGGAAAGGGGTTAGCACCCCCAAACCCCACCTTGTTCAAGGGCCAAATGTGTGTGTGAAAAATCAAAGCGTGGCCAACCAAGTAATGGAAGCAATAAGGACTTCAGAGCCACAGTGGTCAAGGAGGATCTGCCTGTGGGGAAATAGGCATTCAGTGAGGATTTGAAGAGGAGTACCTTTTAAGAGAGGAAGCACTGCTTCATCTCACCTTTCCCACTCATACCACCCCTCCTCCCTGCATCTTGATGTTCCTGACCCTGTTTCTGTGAATGAATATATTTCTCCTTACTGGAAAAGTGGCATTCTGTAATTACTCGTAACTATGAAAACAGTTCTTGCCACAATGAGAGATCAGAAGAGTACTGAGTGCATTTAAGTAGATGTGTGCCTTTAACCAATAAAAAATTGGGAGGTAGAGTTTCTCTCTCTTAGGATCCCTGATCTGAAGATCAGGTGCTTCAGCGATGCAAAGTAGAGCTTACTAAACCTTCACTTTAGACTCTGGTCACTTTTCACATATGGATGAATCTTGGAAATTATAGAGGAATTGGAAGAAACGTCATTAGAACCTTTGTTCATTACTGTAGGAAGGATTTCTTTTTCTGCTTTAGTTCTGAAACTTCTCACAGCGAGGTCTTGGAATAACGTCTTCATACTTACAGAAACGTATTTGGAATCAGAATTTACTCATGCTTGTGCCTTTCCATGTTTCAGGTCTACAAGTGCACCTGCAGGTTCAAGTGCTGCCTCTGGCAGCAACCGAAGACTTCAGCAGACACAAAATCAAGTAGATGAGGTACTGCTCTCAAGTATTGAAAACAGGGAATTTTAAACCAACATGGGAACACTCTGGAAAGAATTCTATTTAGAAAAAGTATCATAAAAGCATGAGTATAAAGGAAATTTTGACTGTTTCATAATAACAAATGAGCTAAACTCTGAGAACTCAGTCTCCAGGTGTCATGCTTGTTTTCCTGTGACCAAATCTTGTGTCTTAACCACAGACACTCCTCCTGAGAACATCTCTCCAAGAACCACTTTATAAGATACAGTTTGCCACAATTAAAAAAAAAAAAAAAATGGAAAAGAAAAAAAAAAGAACCACTTTACTAAATAGGGTAATAGAGTTTTAAGGATTAGGTCGATAGATTGTTCAAGCCAAGACCAGTCGCTCTGACCAGATTTTTCATCAAAATGCTTCCTACAGTAGCCTGACGTACTGGTTACCAGGCTTGAGGAAGCCTCTAGAACTCCGTTCCAATTGTTGCCCATTCACGTACCAAAGGCAGATGCTGGCAAACTGCTCTAGCCCAACAAATCGAAATTTGTGGAATTCTTGAGTCAGAGGACCCTCACAGCATCTTTTGTTCTGCTCTGTATATGCAGACCCACAGTGGAAGACAGTGAGAAATTCAGACTAGTATTCTATAGCCCAAAGAGCTGTCAGTGTCCAACAAAGACATCTTGGTCTTTCTGCACTTAGCTGCTTTAAAAAGCAGTTAAACTTAGGTTAGATTGCATTATTAAGTCATTTGGTAATATTTTGGTCTAATGGTTTTGTTTATGAACTGAATTCTGAAAATTTTACATTTCCATGGTAAGAAACCCATTCTAATTCCATCCTGGATGAAACTTTTGTTTACTTACAAAATCAAACTGGGTCCTTTTTCTTAACCAAAGGAATTTTAAGGAGAGGTGTTTTGTTTTGTTTTGTTTTAATTGAGGTGAAATTTACGTAACATACAATTAGCCATTAACCAGTGGTTTTCAGTGTATTTACAATGTTGTGCAGCCATTACCTCTGTCTAATTTCACTACTTTAGCACTCCCCCGAAGAACACCCTGGACATGTGTAATCATCACTCCCCGTTCCCCTTTTCTCCCATTCCTGGTAACCTGTAATCGGCTTTCTGTTTCTATAGATTTGCCTGTTCTGGCTGCATCCTATAAAGGGGATCATGCACCGTGTGGCCTTTTGTGTTTGGCTTCTTTCACTCAGCATAATGTTTTCACTGTTCATGTTGTTTGTAGCATGTCAGTACCTCCTTCCTTTTTATGGCTGAGTGGTGGTCCATGGTGTGTTTGTGTACATAATTCATTTTTCTTTTCATCTGTGGAGGGGTTTTTGAGTTTCCACCTTTTGACTGTCATGAATAATGCTGCTGCAGACATTCATGGACGAATTTCTGTGTGGACGTATGTTTTTATTTCTCTTGGATATGTATCTAGAAGCAGGAGTGCTGGATTACGTGGTAATTCTGTGTTTCACTTTTTGAGGACCTGCCAAATGGGTCCACAGTGGCCGGGCCAGCCTTCATTCCCTCCCGCAGTGTCCGGGGGCTCCTGCTTTTCCACATCCTCACTAACACTTGTTAGTTTCTGCTTTCTCTGCGTGTAGCTGCCCTCCTTCGTGAATATGAAGTATTTCATCATGGTTTTGGTTTGCATTTCCTTAATGGCCAGTAGTGTCGAATATCTTTTCATGTGCTCGTTGATCATTTGTAAACATTCTTTGTAGAAGTGTCTATTCAAGTCTGTTGCCTGGCTTTTAATTGGGTAGTTTCTGTCCTTGTTGTTGGGGAGTAAGAGTTCCTTATATATATGTATTCTGGATATTAAACTCTTATTAGATAAATGATTTGCAAATAGTTTCTTCTGTTCTATAGATTGTCTTTTCACATCCTTGATAATGTCTTTTGATACACAAAAGGTTTTAATTTTTAAAAAGTTAAATTTATTTTTTCTTTTGTCGTTCTTGATTTGGTGTCAAATCCATGGCCAAATCTGAAGTTTGGAAGATTTGCTCTTATGTTTTCTTCTAAGAGTTTTATAGTTTTTAACTCTTATTCTTAGGTCATTGATCCATTTTGAGTTAATTTTTATATATAGGGTTAGGTGTAAGGGTCCAGTTTCATTCTTTTGCATATGGCTGTCCCGTTGTCCTAGCACCATTTGCTGAAGAGACCATCCTCCTCCTCACTGAATGATCTTGACAGCTTTGTCCAAAAATCAGTTGGCCATAGATGTTGGAGTTGATTTCTGGATCCTCAGTCTGTATGTCTGTCCTTACGCTAGAATCGCACTGCTTTGGTTACTGTAGCTTTGTTGTAAGGTTTTGAAATTGGAAAGTCTGAGTCCTCCAACATTTCCTTTTTCAGTATTGTTTTGGCTCTTCAGGCCCCTTGCAATTTCATAAAAATTTAAGGATTGGCTTTTCTGTTTCTGGGAGGGGATGGTAGGGGGAGAAGGCCAGTGGAATTTTAGTAGAGATTGTGTTGAATCTGTATATCTGTACAGTGCTTTGAGACATCTTGCCATCTTAATAACAGTAGGTGTTCCCATCTATGAACATGGAATGTCTTCCTACTTAATTAGGTCTTTAGTTTCTTTCAGCAATGTCTTGTAGTTTTCAGTGCACAAATCTTTCGCCTCCTTGATTCAATTTATCCCCTAGGTATTTTATTCTTTTGGATGCTACTGTATATGAAATTATTTTTTTAATTTCCTTTTCATTTCTCTTGTATGGAAACATTCTGATTTCTGGGTGTTGGTCTTGTACCCTGAACCTTTACTGAATGTGTTTATTGACTCTAGTAGTGTGTGGATTCTTTAGGATTTTCCATATACGGAATCATCTGCAAATAGAGATCATTTTACTTCTTTCTTTCCAATTTGAATGTCTTTTATTCTTTTCCTTGCCTAATTGCTCTGGCCAGAACTTCCAGTACAGTGTTGAACAGCATTAGTGAAAGTGGTCATCTTTACTTGTTCTTGATCTTAGGGAGAAACTCTCCACATCGAGCATGGATGTTAGTTACGGGTTTTTCCATAAATGCCCTTTATCATGTTAGAGAAGTGCCCTTCTATTTCTAATTTGCTGAGTATTTTCATCATGAAAGAGTGAGCCACTCCCTGCTCCCTCCTTTTTAAAAGAAAGTTGTGGCTCAAAGTCATAAAGTGCTGACCTGAAAGAAAATGAGCCCATTTACCTCACTGAGAGTTTTGCTTGTTCTTCCCTTCCTTTATGTGTAACTTGGTGTGATCGCGTTCATTCAGGTAGTTGACATCATGAGAGTCAATGTGGACAAGGTGTTGGAAAGAGATCAGAAGCTCTCAGAGTTAGATGATCGTGCAGACGCGCTGCAGGCTGGAGCGTCCCAGTTTGAAACAAGTGCTGCCAAGTTGAAGAGAAAATATTGGTGGAAGAATTGCAAGGTAATTTTCTTTTTAACTGGTTTTTACGTTAAGTCACCCTCTGTATTCTCGGAGGGTCAACTAAGGCTATGGGTATTGGAGATGAGTTTGACGGCCCATACGTGGAAGACTGGATGACTCTGAGTCTGAAGCACTGACTGCATGCTCTTTCCTATCCCCTCAGCTAGGAATGCTCCATGACCCGTGGCTGACCTTAAGAAGCATATAGAACAGGAATGTCCAGAGTCAGTCACCAACCTAAGCCCCTTCCAACCCTCCACCCCTACCCTGCAAAGCCCTGAACACATACTGGCAGGAGAAGGCTGGGGTTGGTGGTCCGCTGGCCTGTGGTTCAGCGAGTGGCTCCGGGGTCACAGGATGGGGGGGTGCAGAAAGCAGCCCACAAGCAGCGTACCCCAAAGCAGACCTTATACATCTCACGGCCCCCTTACTGGTATACAAGTGACACTTTCTGATACACAGGACAAGCGTAGTAGCCCTGCCTTGTGTGAAGAACTTGTATACACAAGCAAATGCCTTTCCAGGGACCACAAGTCATTTGACCATTTTCTAAAAAGCAGATAAATAACTTCATGCCGTAATTGAGAACAGTAAATTTAGGCCTTAAAGACTATGAATTATTTCAGATTATAGTGCACCTTAACTTCTTGGTCCGTGACTAGAATATCATACTCTGCAGTGAGCACCCTTATGTCTATGTTTGGAAATGTGAAATGGTCTATGTTTTGTCATAGATGTGGGCGATAGGGATTGTCGTTGTGGTCATCATCATCATCATCATCATTGGTGAGTTCTCCTGCCCTAAATTCATTATTCAAATCTTCTCGGTACGGTCACAGCTGATTTCACATACAAGAAGTCAGAATAAAAGTTCCCTCAGAACTGTTAGTTGACTCCAAAGATTTTCATTTTCTTCAGTAAATGTTTTAAATACTTGAGTGTTACTTCATCAAAATCCAAGGGTTTTTTTAAATATAAACGTTGGCCCTTTGAAGTTAGAGGAAATGTATTCATTTCCACTGACCCATCTGTTTTCAGTCTGAGTACATCTTCATCTGCTATTTCCTTTTATAAGAAAGTATCGTCTATTGATTAAAAGCATGACTACCTGTTCTCCACCATGGCTCCATTCCCATCCAGCTGCGTGGCCTTGGGCAAGCAGTTTAACGTCCCTGATCCTCAGTTTCTTCACTTGTAAAGTGTGGATGATAAAGTACCTTACCTGCCCCTTAATGTTTGCTGTGAGGACACCACTGCTCAACATAGAAAAAGTGCATGCGATGGTACCCGGCGCATAGGAGTAATGATAGCTGCGTAAGTAAGTAAATCCACACAGACAGGCATGCGTGCACGAAGTATGATTACTGACGTTATTACTGCCGCTACCGTATATGATACTGGAACAGGCCGTTGACGTTTGTAGCCCAGGACCTGGGAACCATTTGCAAAAGCAGTTCTTCCCATCCCTTCTCGACAATGTCCTCAAGCCCTCGACAAAGTGTAGAGAAGCCACTAGTAAGAAGTTGGCCAAATTGAATTGCATATTTAGACTGTGATGTTCACTGTTAACTCTGGGTGTGCAGTGGGAGACTGAACTGTTGTTTCCTCTGCTTCTTTGTGTCTCCCCTGCGTGTTAGTGTGGAATGTTTCCCCGTGAAGAACCAGTGCAGCCCCAGCCTGCCGTTCAAGAAAGCTCTTCAAGACATTTGACTTAGAACCTGCTATATTCTCGAGCTCGCCTACTGTTCTGTCTAAACTGATTATTTTCTGTTTGTTACCGTAAAGTTTAATTTCTAGGCAACGTGCCTTTGTAATGTCATAAGCACTCCAAACTTGAAAGTGCAGCCGCCCGGCCCACACCTGGCCCGGTGCCTTCACAGATTGCACGCGGCTGACGGAGAGGATCTCTTCACTTCCCGAGTGTCATCTCCTCGAAGTCATGTTGTCTGATGCATTGGTGTTCATTCCAGTTAAGGGAATTTGTTCCAAGTTAGCTATCCTTGCCGTCTGACATCTTCAGAACCACATTCTAAACCTTTAGGTAATCAGATTTCCAGTTTGTGCCTTCCAGAAAGAACACTACTGCCTAACGCAGATCTGTAACCATAACAGGTTGTGCCTTATTTTGCTATTTTTCTGGTTCCCTAGAAGAGAAGTCTCTACTGTTCATAAGCACTACTGACTCTTGCGCTGTATTTAAAATAAGATGTGGATAGAGTTTTGGCTCTTACATTAGATATGAAGATGTTTACTTTCTTGTTACTGTTTTTGTATCACTTGCTAAAAAATATTATTTTAATCAGACATAATAGCCTCTTTAAAACATTTTTATAGAACTAGGGCTATGACCAAAGTTTCTATTTTGCCAAAAAGTTGAATGCCCAGTACAGAGTCCTTAAGTCTGTTCCTGACAGATAAATTCAAAAAAGTGACAAATGGAACTTAAGGTGCCCTTCAGAATTAGAATTACAATCTTGTCTGTGAACCCTCTACATCCTAACAGGCCTTTCTTGCCTTTGGAGTGCTGTGGTCAGCGCAGCTCCCCCTCTGATTCAGCATTGCTCCCAGGGCTGAGGGAAGGTTTAAGCTAGACTCTGACCATCTCATCCCTGGAGACTGAGTTCTACCCGGCACTTCACAGAATGTCAGCTGTGGACTCCAGTAGGTCCCTAATAATTATGTGAGCAACCATTCTGCAGCCTTCGAGTGAGACCATCTGTGAACTGGTCCTTAACTGGCCCAATCCCCATAGACGATAGTCTTTGGGAGTTTGTTTCCTATTTTTATTCATATTCCACTTCCTAAATCTGTCTTCTAAATTATGCTTTCAATTGGGCATTGGGCAGGGGTGGATGACTCTTCTTGGAGGATAGCTAACCAGAGACCCTTTCTTTCTTCAGCGTCATAGATTGCACAAGATGCTGCTCTGGAAATAGCTTTGTCATCTGAGAGACTTACTGTGTATGTGAGATGTGCATCATCAGGGCGGGTGGCTTAAGGATGGGAATTCAGGTAGGCATGCAAACAGGCAAGGAGGCGCTGAGGGACAAATGCAGGGGTATTACTACTCTGGCCCATGGTTACTGGAGGATTCCAAAATTCCTGTTCACATGCTAGCGTGGGACTTACAAAGCAACACCAGTTGAGGGGCACCAGGACACGAACTCCCTTTAATACCTGTTCCCCTGGCCTCACTGAGATGCTGCGGTGGAAGACACGCCCTGCAGGACGCCCAGCTGTGAGAAGGAAGCAGCGGGGTCAGTGTGGGGCGGGCCGTGGGCCCACCCCTCCGCTCAGGGGCTCTGGCCGGGTCTGACTCTGAAACCTTGGTGCTCCCTCCTTGCCTCGTGCCCAGTCCCATGTAACCCGCTGGCTCCTGCATTAACCCAGGGGCACCTCGCTTGTATCTGTGCATTTAGCTGGGAACTTACCCACTATAATGAACTGAATAAACTGTTTATAAACGGAATTCCGGTATCTGTGTTGCTTGTGGAAGAACAGCTGTGCATGGTCCAAGTCTTAAAAATGGCATTCGTTGCTGCTGCCCTCACCTTTCACTTAGAAACCCCAGACTCCACTTTCTCTTCTTCTCCCCAGTTCCCTCCCCGAGGACTCATTTCTTAGTCCCCAGCATTTCCCTGTACTCTAGTAAACCCAAGCAAACCCTTCCCCTCGTGAAAAGTATAGATGAATGGGGGCTGGCTTTCTCACGATTACCAGAATGCTCAGGATCTGGCTTTTGAGTTTCTTAAATATATGTTCTTTAAAGAATGACGTGCAGAGCTGGCCCTGTGTGTGGTAGAATAGCAAGCCGCCTACGTGGCCCACAGGGAAGGTAACGTGGATGGGCGAGAGACTTCTCCAAACATGGCTCTTGTTTTGATTCAGCACATCCGTCCCCTTGAATACACTTCCCTTCTTAATCTGCCATGGCTAGGGAACAATATAACAGGGGTGGAAGTAGCCTTTGCTTACAGTTGCGATAAAATGCCATTTCCTATAGAAATCTGGGAGAGAAGAGGTTGACTTCTTCCATCGCCTTGACCTTGGAGAGGTGGGCACCGCTTTTCTTGTCTGGCATGCTAATGTGTCCTGGCAAAGCACTTACAGTAGAACTGTGCTGTTCGTTCAGGACCTTTATATAATGAGATCTACATAAATTTTGGTGCCATTTTCAAGATTTTGAAGGAAAATCTACCATAAATGCGCTCTTTTCTGCCTCTCCTGTAAATGTCAGGATTCCTCAGCCAACTGGGTCCTCAGCCAACTTCTCTTTCCATTCTACCCACTCTCCCTGGTCAGTCTTACCTATTCCCATATCTCTAATCGTTAATGTACTGATGATTCCTGGCCTAGTGGATACAGGCCTCTCAAACTCAGCGTGGACCAAACAGAAGTAAGCATTCCCCGGCCGCACGCTCCTCTTCCTACCGTTAATAGTGTCTGTTCCAGAGAATGGCACCACCATCCATCCAGTGTCCACGCCAAACAAGTCCACTGGACTTGCTGATATTTTTAGTCACCATACAGATCACTCCGAATGTGCTGGAGTGCTACATAATAAACATTCTCCAAATCTCAACGGCTTAAAGTTATTTCCTCACTCGTGACTCATGTCCAGTGCCAGGCCCCGGGAAGGTTCACGTCAGTCCTCAGGGAGGGGCTTCCTGTAAACATGTGTTCAGGTTATCAGTGTGGCAGGAAGGGAGCATCAGGAATTGGGCACTGGCGCTCAAGGCTTCCGTCTGGAAGTTGGGTTAGGAGCTCTCATGTTTTACTGGCCAAAACAAGTCACGTGACCCCGCCTAACCTCAGAGGTGGCAGGGGACACATGTCACCGAAAGGAGAAATGTGATGTTTGTGAACACTTGCATTCCTGATGACAACTTTAGTCAAAGAATGGGGCGAATTCCCCTTGACTCAGAAGTATTTTCGAATGAGGTGTGCATCCTACATGATGATTCTATATTTGTATCACTAATAGAATATGTTTTTTGAAGTATGATTTTTTTTTTTATTATTCGTTTTGAGTGAGGATTGTTTGTTTAAAATTGACTGAACTGCTTAGTGCATTTAAAAATAGCATCCTTGGCGACGCCTGGCTGGCTCAGTCAGTGGAGCGTGAGACTCTTGATCTCAGGGTGGTGAGTTTGAGCCCTGCGTTGGGTATAGAGATTACTTAAAAAGAAAATCTTTAAAAAAAAAAAAAATAGCATCCTTATTTACAACTAAGCTGCTTTTCATACTAGCAGAAGATTCAGTTTGTAAAACCACAATTTACTAAATAAACCAATTATGGCATAATTATTAGAAAATAATGGATATTCTTTTCTCATCCTTTAAATAGCAAGCTAAGTGCATTTCAAAATCTTCTACTGGTCTTTATACCATCAAGACGACGGGCAATCCCGCTAACACAAGGGCTTGCCTTTAGCCCAGGCTCTGGATCCTGAGCCTAACAGAATCCTTCCCTCCAGCCATTCCCTGTTGTCTGCAACTCTCCCCCTGCTTCATCCCCTTCTCCCTCTCTGTTGGATCACCCCATCAGACCCTAATCGTGGCCCCCACATCCCTCCCTTGGGCAAACAAACACTTGTTCATAGCCCCACACAGCAAAACCCCTCCCCACGGCTCCCCGTGGTCACTGCCTCACAATGCACTTTTCCTCCAGCCAACACTATTGAGACATCTTTAACCAAGGTCGCCATCTTGGTGAAGCACCACAGAAATTTCTCTGCCCTTGTCTTACTCTCTGCATCACCAGCATTTGATACAGTTAATAGCTCTCCCCTTGAAATATTTTATCTAGCTTCCATGACCCAACATTCTTCTGCTTTTCTTTCAACCCCATCTATGGCTCCTTATTCTTCACCAGGGTCTCTGCTTGGCCTCTGAATCTCCATGCCTCTCTCCTCCCTCAGTCTTGGCCTTTGGCCCTTTTCTATTTGCATTCTCATGTTGACACCATTTCACCCATGACTGTAATCACCATAGGGACTCTGGCCTCTCCCAAATGTCAGCCATATCTCCATCCCTGGCCTCTCCCCTGCGTCCCAGGCTGGGAGATCCAATCACCCACCTGCATGTGTAATGCACTGCTCAAACATATCGTGTGGGAAACAAGTCTCCATTCTCCCCTCATCAAAACTTACCATCCCCACCTGTCCATCTAAGTTGATGACCCATGACACACAGCACTGCTTACACTAAAGACCCAGGAGTCGTCCTTGATCACTCTCTCTTCTTACAACATACATTCAACTCATCGGCAAGGTTCTGTGCCCCAGATGCATCCCACGTCCAGTCTCCTTTCACCATACTTCGTGGCACCACCCTAGTCCAACCGGTTCTCAGGCCTCTTCTTGTAACTAACAGCTTCCTGTTAACTACTCCCTGTGTAGAAGTCTGGCTGATTCAGATCACTAGCTTGCTTAGAATCCTCTTTCCACTTTCCATTTTTTAGAAAAAAATCCAAATTGCATTCCCTAATTATAATCTGGCCCTTCCTAACTTCCTGATCTTCCCTAACACCATTCCTCCTCCCTCTGTGAATTCTCCAGGCAAAGTAGATGTTCCTTCTGTTCCTTAACAACACACCTGCTCCGTCAGGGCCTCTGCAGGTGCCTTCTGCCCCCTCCATTGGGTCCACCCCCCACACAGACGCACACACTCAGGTTTCAATTCGCCTTCTCAGAGAGGCTTCCCCCATCACCAGGTTGACGTGTCTGTTGCCTCCTTCACCCTCCATCCCCGTCCCAGCTACACTTCATCCTCGTTTCACGTTCCACACATCACTCTCCACTTTCGGACCTCTACACGCTGGCTTGTGTTTTCTGTCTTCATAAAAGGCAGACTCCCTGAATGGCAGGGACTTTTGCCACTGCTCCTTCTCAGGGGCCACAATCATCCCGGCCTAGATCATCCACTCAGTAAGTATTTGTTGAATGAACGCAGTTCGACAAAACATAACTTGAGAGGGAGATCTGCCATCATTTGGGAAAAGGAGATGTTTTATCCAATACATGATAAGAACAATTGACACACTTCACTGCCCCCCCCCACCCCTTTCTATACAACTCCTTTCATCCATCCAATAAATACTGAAGGTTTTTCATGTACCAGGCACTGGAGAGGGGAGGAGCTCTGCACTTCGGATGAGTCGACACACAACCTAAAAAACCTTCAGACTTGGTATTTTTAAAAAGGCCTTGGCTACACCTTCCTTTTCTGAAACCGTGTCGTTTACATACACTTGTCTTCCCCCAGTTGCCAAATCAACCTGTAACTTCAGGAAGACCGGGGAAATGTTTAGAGTCCGTCGTCAAAATTCCGCTTCTGAAACCCGGCTTTGATCTTCCCGGGGCTGCTCTGCTGCCGGGGCCTCCGAGCCTCAGGAGCTGGCGGGCGCGAGAGCAGGGAGGTTGAGCAAGACGCAAAAACGGAACCCGAGAAGGCGCCGACGAGGCGCTCGGTCGTCCAGTGCTTCTTCCCGCGGCCCGGGGCTGTCCCCCACCCCTGTGCCGCCGGCCCCGGCCACCTGCGCGCCCCGCCCGTGGAGGCCGGCCCGCCCCGCCCCGCCCCGCCCCGCCCGTGGAGGCCGGCCCGCCCCGCCCCGCCCCGCCCCGCCCCGCCCGTGGAGGCCGGCCCGCCCCCTCGTGATTGGCGGCTCGAGCGCCCTATCCCTGCCGCGCTGGCTCCAGCCGCCCCGCGGCCCCTTCCCCCCACCCACCCTCCCTCCGGCGCCGAGAAGGGGGCGGAGCACTCGACTCGCGCGGCCTTAACTCCAGCCCCCTCCGAGCCCCTCCGCCCCCCGCCTACGCGCCGGCCTGCCGGGATTGGCCGAGCGCCGCCCTCCGCCCGAGCCCCGGCGTTATGTAAGGTGCTCCGGTGTCTTCTCCCCGCCCACTCGCCTTCGGTTATGTAACCCGGGCGCCCCGACGCGGGCCCCGCCCCCTGGCCAATGGGGGCGCGCAGAGCCGGACGCGGCGGCCAATCGCGAGGCCTGGGGGCGGGGCCGCATCACGTGGCGCGCGGGGGGCGCGGCGCCGGCGGCCGCCCGGCACGCGGCGGGCCTCGGGACTGCGTGCGGCTCGGTCCGGCCCGGCGGGGCGAGCGGCGGCGGCGGCGGCGGCGGCTGGTGAGTGCTCTGCCGGGGCGGGAAGTCTCCCCGAGTCCGCCCTTCGTTCTGGACCCGGCGGCCCGGCGGTGCCGGGCCGGGAACCTGGGGCTCCTGAACTTGGCGCTGGAGGTCCCCCCTGCCCGGGTCCGGTTTCTGGGCGCGCGCCGCCCGCAGGTGAATAGCTGCGGGTGGGCAGGCCGGCGAATGGGAAAGTCTGGCCGGGGGTCTGTCACAGCCCAGCTAACGCAGCACATCGCCTGTGTCACTGGACACCTGTCCTCTCTGTACCAGGCTGCTCCCGCGAGCGGAGCCATCGAGACTGCATGGAGATCCTGCAGAGGAAACTTCGTCTAGGTGACCAGGGATCAGGATCCACCGGCTCCTGATGACCGATCATTTTCCCTAAAGCAATGGCATGGACCAAAATGAGAAATTCTGTTGCTGATTGCAAAGTGAAAAGGAGGCAGGCAACAGACTGAGGGCTGCCGAGCAAAAGATGGACCCCCGTGAAGACCTGGAAACGTCCAGCGGTAAATCTCTGGACTCCAGGGGGACCGAACCTCGGGAGTTTGAAGGACCACAGGCCTGCGGCTCTGAGGCCCTGGGGAGAGGAAACGAGGAGATGTGGAGCCCACACGTGGAGAACAGCAACAGGTGACAGGACCTGATTTGTTTGTTGTTCTTCGAAGGCTAGTACAGGGAAAGGGGGGCTTAAATCGTTTTATTCTCTTATTTGTAAGCCTAAGAAAAAGTTTAGGGGGATACTCAGACAACTTGGAATGAAAAGCTATGGGAAACTGAAGAATTACCAAGAAGTACCGAAAGGACGGAGAGAGTGGTTAAGGGTTTAGCTGAGCAGGGGGCTGCAGTGGGAATGAGAAAGAATGGAAGATGTTTGATGTTTACCAGTTTCTTTGGCCAGGATCCCCCCAAAGAGGAAAATAAACCTGTGAGCTAAATGAGTTGATCCATGGGAAACACTTAGAAAGTTGCTTGGCACATCATATGCTGTTCAGTAAATGTTGGCTGTTCTTATAATTGAACCTGTGAATTGATGGGGTTTTTGTTGTTGTTTTCTTACAGTGAACAGCAAGATCGAAACAGAGTTTCTGAAGAACTTATAATGGTTGTGCAAGAAATGAAAAAATACTTGCCATCGGGGAGACACAGTAAGGCGAGCACCGTCGAGGCCCTCAACTATGCACTTCACTGCGTGCACAGCGTACAAGGTAAATGAGCTAGAGAAAAAGTACAGTCGTGCGAGTACGTCATTTTGCTCATAAACATCGGCCAAGCCGCAAGAGTTATCAGTGTGGTTCTGGTCCCTGAAATGTTTTGACCTTTTTATGGTGCTTGATGTGAGATGAGCAGATCCACATGGATTCTATTCGTGTCTTGGTTTTGCAAATTAGGAACATCAGGAAAACCTTGTTTGTGTTATAGTTTAGGAACTGTTGTTTAGTGACTGCCATATTTTGATGATTTGCTGTAGGAGGTAGAGTTTAGCACATTTTAAAGACTGACTTTTTATTTTTTTTTTTTAAGATTTTTTTTTTAAATTTATTTGACAGAGAGAGACACGGCAAGAGAGGGAACACAAGCAGGGGGAGTGGGAGAGGGAGAAGCAGGCTTCCCGTGAAGCAGGGAGCCCGATATGGGGCTCGATCCCAGGACCCTGGGATCATGACCTGAGCCAAAGGCAGATGCTTAACAACTAAGCCACCCAGGCGCCCCAGAGACTGACTTTTTAAAAGATCATTGTCTTCCAAGGGTATTGGGGAAAAAATACATTTGGCTAAATACAGCTCACCTTTCTCTGTCATCCACATACTGTTACAGTGCATTCATGATATATCAGGAATTTGCCAAATTAAAAATGAACAGTTGTAAACACCTTTTCCTTTTTATCTCTGACCTTTCTTTTCCGGGGATTTAATAAAGTACACATTTTCTTCAGCACAAACTTCTGTGAAGTCGCATACGACACACAGCGCCTGAATACAAAAGTAATGTTTCTGCCATAAACACATCACATGCATGTATTTGGAATTTTAGGTTTTCGTGCCTTGTATGGATCTTGCTCCTCGTGACACAGAACATCAGAAAATCCTAAAATCCGAAGGCTTACGTCTGTACAATTGTCTGTGTTTTAGGTGAAAGAAAATGATCTGGTTTTAAGGCAGATACGCCGAGGTGTTCTCATCCTAAAAAATAAGCCAGCTTCAAGGGCAGTAAAAATGATTTCCTTAAGCTCTCGTGGTCACTGGACTACCTGTTTATTTTCCTGTGTTTCTTAGCAAACAGTGGGTTTTTCCAGACTCTCAGTCAGAGTGGAGCGCCTCAAGCAGCTGCGACCGCATACAATCTTGAGGAGCTGGCCACGGCTGCCTCGGGGTACACTTCCAAAAACACAGTAAGAATCCACACATTTTGCCATATCAACCTGGGTGACTTTTCCTAACAACCTTGTCTAGACGTAGATGTTGAAACCTAACACGCTGGAGTTTCATTAACCGTGATGCGAGGCAAACAGTGGAGGCGCGCTGCTGAGGAGGCATCGTGTAGTTTCTCCTGCCCTTGCGGGAGCACAGATGTAAACCCAGGTGGCGGCCCTGGGGCGGTGGTCTGCTGGGCTCCCCTCCCGAGCCGCCCCTGCCTCCTGAGCATCCCTGGGTTCTCTCGAAGTCAGAGAGAAAAACAAATAACAAACTGCAGAGTAACCGCCCTCATTTTATTTTGATCTCAGAATCGTTAATTTGTATTTATATCATTCTTAGTTCCAATACCTACTCCTTCAAGTTGTAACAACTGGATTTTATAGAACCAGGTGAGTTGAGATGCTGTCATTTTTCTGTCAAATTTGGGAAGAGACATGTAGTGGATCTTTTTTGAATCTCTTCATGTTGGCAGAATCATTCAGCCTTATGCCTTACTGATGTGATGGAGATTACTTAGTTTTATGTTTAGACCCCATACATAAAGATCTGGTAATACCGGAACAGGAGCTCTCCCTAAGATCACAGGAGTATTTGTTTTACTGACTGGGGTGTTTATGGGACTCTGGTGGGTGTGGCGGACATGGAAGAAACAAGGAAAGGTTTAAGAAAACATTTTCCCTTTAAGATCTTCAGGTAAAACTAGAGAGGGGAGGACATGCCAATGTTAGCAGACGCAAACAGTAGCCGATTGTAAATGTTATTGATGTTTGACGGAACATACGAGAAATGATTCTTATGTAGCGAGGTTTGTCAAAGACCGTGTCTTGAAAGAAGAGACTCTTGAGCTTGGTCTTGAAGCCTAGAGTTCGCATTGGTCAAGAGAAGACAGTCCCCTCAGTTTGCAAACGAGAAGGAATCAGAAATGGATGCGCCGTGTGCACGTTTAGTCGATGTAGGATGAGCTGGTATATTGTTTGGTATAGAAATCAGACCTTCAGAGGGGAAGAATGAAGCGGGGGAAATCGGAGGGGTAGACGAACCATGAGAGACGATGGACTCTGAAAAACAAACTGAGGGTTCTAGAGGGGAGGGGGGTAGGAGGATGGGTTAGCCTGGTGATGGGTATTGAGGAGGGCACATTCTGCATGGAGCACTGGGTGTTATGCACAAACAATGAATCATGGAACACTACATCTAAAACTGATGATGTAATGTATGGGGATTAACATAAGAATAAAAAAAATCAGACCTTCAGAAGATAAAATGCAGGTTTTATGACAATCATTAAGGTATATGTTGGAGACTCATGCTGCCTTTGCAGGATGTGTGCATGTGTTGATCACATTAGGAGTCTACAAGAAATTTACCTTTCAGGGAATATTGTTCGCAAATGTCTCAATATTTGCATTTATTTTAAATGTTTTTCATAGGATACCTTTGTGGCAGTGTTTTCATTTCTGTCTGGAAGGTTAGTGCACATTTCTGAACAGGCTACTTCAATCCTGAACTGTAAGAAAGACTTCCTGGAGTCTTCGCACTTTGTGGAACTGCTTGCTCCCCAAGATGTGAGGGTTTTCTGTGCACACACTGCCCACGCTCAGCTTCCCCTCTGGAGCAACTGGACCCAAAGAGGTAACGGGACCCATGCTCAGATGTTTACCTTGCCTCATAAAGATCAGGTTCATTCCTTCAGAAAGAGTACCAAAATTAACGCATTGTTTTGAACCTGCAAACTATATGGTTTTTCTTATTTCTTTATTTAAAAAATCAGAATGTGGGGCACCTGGCTGGCTCATTTGGTGGAACGTGCAGCTCTTGACCTTGGGGTCGTGAGTTCAAGCCCCACATTGGGTGTAGAGATTACTAAAAATAAATAAAACTTTAAAAAAAAAACAAAGATAAGGAAATAAGTAAATGAGAAGTCAGACGGTGTTGGAAACAGCATTTTAAATGCTTCTAATGACAAAGTTCCAATTAATAGGCTTTCATTTAGTCAAGTTAATTTTATAGGTTCTATATCATAAATATGTTTTCTTTTAAACATGGTTTGACTGCTTGTGTGCCATATAGCAGGTTAATTGTTATAAAGATTCTGTTTTCTCTAAGTTAATAAAATTAAATATTTTCCCTCTTACATTGACTTCATTATTTCTTTGCTTGGCTTTGGAGATAAACTTCTCATGGTTAGCTGCCCTTCGAGTTTCGCTTCTACCTAAAAGTTCATGAATCTCACTACTTTTTCTTCTGAAATCCTTATTTCCCTGAACTGGGGATGCCCAGTCCTAGTTTCCTTTGTGACTTTCAGACCTATATTATTTTTTAAATAATTCATTATTTCTTTTTAAAGTCATCCTTTATTACTTACTTCATATTCTTCGTGAAGCGTGTCTTAAAGAGCTTAGTGCAGATCAACGTTTTTCTTTTGAGTCTAAGCCCTCTTCTCTAATTTTTTTGAAATTTATATTTGATTTGTTTATTATGGTAAAAAAAAAAAAAACCATTAGCAAAATGTACCATCTTAACCATTTTTAAATGTACAATTTAGTAGTGTTAGGTACATTGGCATGGATGTGAAACACACCTCCAGAACCTTCTCATCTTGCAAATCTAGGGCCCTGTGCCCATTCTGACTTTCTAACACAGGACGTGGTCCAATGGAAACAGTCTCGTACGCTGCTTTTTTCCGTGGCAGACCTTTGCCCCGTCTTCTGGGCACAGGTTGTGGACACTTCAAAATGCACACCTGTCTTCCTTGCTTGTTTCCAGCTCTCTTCTGTTCCCCTCACTCAGAAACATTGATTTCATTTCTCTTCCTCTTTCTCGAACACATATTTTCAATCTTCAACTGTCCATGTTTGTTTCTCTGCTTTTATCGATCCTTCATCCACTCCATAGACATTTATTCGGCAAGCACTGTGGACCGGGAGCTGTTCAGGGTGCTGAGATGCATCCATGAGCAGGGCAGGTGCACCATGGCGCTGTCAGCCTGTCGTCGCGCCTCCCCAGCCACCTTCCCTCCAAGGTCGCCTCTGTGGTCTCTCTGCTCTTTTCAGCCGTGTTATCCCTCCAAATGAGTTATTGCCGTGATATTTCTCCTCCATGTAAAAACATAATATACCCTGAAATTGCTGTCTTTGGGACCTAAATATTGACTTCCTCCTTAAAGAGATGGTGCTCCTCTTGGCTACTGCTCACTCTGGGCTTTGCCTCGCACACCTCAGCGATTCCAGCTCTTCTTGAGCCATTTCTGGGCTGGGCCCATGCTGCCTCCTTCTGCCCTTCCTTTGAGCTCATAGAACATGAAGGGGACATAGGAAGCTCTAAACTCAGCAGTTGTCAGCCTTCGGCCTGGCGTCAGAGCACGTTTCCACTTTGGTTCGTTGTGCAGACCTCCCAGAAGGATCTGACCACTGTTTCTTTAGAGTGCACTTCCAAAAACAAGGATTCACCCACTACAGCTGAGGCGTGGAACTGATAAGGGGCTCGTGTCTACCGTTTCAGATCCCACGGTCCGGCTTTCCGTCCTGCACGACTAGGCGCTAGAGAGCGCAGTTGAATTCAGGTGCCTAGTGTCCTCACGCAGAGTGCACGCAAGCCGCCCTTCGGGTAGAGTTGCGGTATTTCCTATGTGCAAAGAATTTTAAACAAGGAAATCTGAAGATCTGAGTTTTCAATTGAGTTTTGTCCCTTCATGAGCCAAGGGGGCCATTTAGCCTCTCACTGTAAAATCATCGTCTTGTCCTACCAGCCTGCTAACACAGGGCTGCTGCGAGAAGCAAGCACACCGATGGTTGGGAAAGCACTCTAGATGTCTGGAACGTTCTGCAACATTAGAGGTCCTCTTCGTTGCTTCCGTTCTATGGAACGGATATTGTTTGCCAGGGACTTTTCTTCATGTTTCAGTGGATTGACTCGTTTAATCTTCACAAAAACCTTATGCGGTATAGATACCATCACTGTCCCCAGTTGACAGATGAGGTAGTTGTGTTAGTTTGGGTCTGCTGAGCAGCAAATGCCAAAATGGGGTCAGCCGTGTAGACGACTTGCTGTAGGGGGTGGGGGAGGGGGGAAGCGGTGCCCTCAGCCCACCGCACACGACTGACACCCATGGAGGGAGCGGGGACAAGGGGGACTGGGGAGGAGATGGCTTGGCCTGCCGCACAGCTCAAAAGACAGCTTGGCCAGGCAAGTCAAAGGGAAGTCCGAGCCACGGTCGCGCACCGGAGGAGCCCTGCGTCTCCATGGAATGGTCCTGTCCCAGTACCGCTCCGTGCTCGGGCACTGGACGGGAACAGCCACCCGACACGGGGCCCTGGGGCAGCAGCTGTGGCCTGTGGTCAGTTACGTCCCCTGAAGCTGGGAGCCACGCCCCTTCTCGGCCGCTGCGATCACTGAGGCACAGAGCTAAGGGACTCACCCAAGGTCATGCTGCCGGTAGGCGTGGAGCCTGGCGGTGTGAGTCCAGGGTCCTTGCCCGGAACCGCTGCCCCTCCTGACCGCGTCCATCCCTACAGCCGGAACCGTCAATCAGGACGTCTGCAGTCACACAAGGGTGGGCGTTTGAAAGCCACAGCAAGGAATCAGTCCTGTTCATAAAAATCATCCCAAAAAATTAAGAATATTTTTGAAACATGCTTACCTTGCTGTCAGTCCTCTGCAAACTTATCTGAGCCTTTCCTGGGGGGGTTTTGATATCAGGGCCGTCGGGTATCTTAGAGCAATGGATTCGGTGAGCTGACCTTGTCAGCTTGGTTCTTTGTCACAGGTGAGCTGTAAGAACAGTCTTCTGGTTTCGGAATTCCAGGACTGTGACTTCCGTAGTGTTCTGAATTCTGACAGTTGGGTCATTGGTGCCTTTGAAACTGGAGTTTTTGCGTTTGATTTGTTTTGTTTTGTTTAATCATGTACGTTTTCCCTGATCGTTCAAAAGCCCATTTTCTGACTCTTCCCATGATCCTCTCCTCTAAGAAGTGCAAAGACCTGGACCATGTGCCCTGTCTTGGTTCTTCAGAGCTCTCATTGTTTATGCTCCTTCAGTGTATGTTTGTAAAACAGCTCCTTGGTTTTAAGCATTTCCTTGGTTCCTAAAACTGAGGATTTTTCACCCCAGTGAGCAAATGCCCAAAAGATCAATTCAAGGAGCTCTAAGCAGAGGAGAGCTAAATAGTCAACAAACACTTGGGAAAAAAAGGTTCGGCCCCTTGATCAAGGCAAACTTAAACATTTCTGAATTACCACTTCACAAATCAATAAAATTAATGCCGAAATCAATAAAACTGGTGCAACCATTGGCATGAGGGTTGTGAGAACATGTCGTTAGAGACCCTGTTGGTTGGTACGATCTTCTGTAGATCAGTGTGGCACTCCACGGTGAGAGTCCTAAGACAATCATGTCATTTCCGGGGCCCAACTTTGGGGACTTCGTCCAGGGAAAGAAAAAAGTGAAAGACATTTGTGAATCTATATGCTGTATATGCTGTAAGTTGTCCAAATCGGTTTCTGAGGCATGTCCAGACTGTCACAGTGAAATAGAATATGCCCACCAAAGTAACTGTGTCCCCCGATTATTGCCTTGACCTTGGAAGGAGGAGCTCGGGTAGTTTCAGCAGTTCAATGAGGGAAAGCCCTCAGTCCCACATATCCTCACTGTCTCCCTGAAGGTCACTGCTAGAGTACCAAAGCCCCCTGGAAAATACTGGATGCGACTTGATCTCAAAGTGAGGGCAGGAGCCCTGTTTGAATCAAGAATATCTCCTTCTTTGAAAGAATAGTTTCTTGTTTGTTTGGGGATAGTTGGAGTTTGTCTTGCTGAGGGGAGCTGCTCTGGCCTATTGCCCTGGGAGGGGGTGATTAACACTTTTGTCTCTGTTTCCCGCAGCATCTCAGTACGAATTTGCTCCGGTGAAATCCTTTTTCTGCAGGATCCGGTAAGTCTAGGGGCTTGTGGGGGCCAGGAACGGTGGGTTATGCTCTGATTTTATTTGGCCCTTTTTAGATTCTTTTGTATTCAGCTAGCACTGGGTTCTTGCCACAAGAAGTTTTTATTTTGATTGAGGAGAAGAGCACTCAAAAAATGACTAGATAATAATGCAGTCAGGAAAAAGAACAGAGAGATCATTCTTAGCCTGGGGGTGCTCGCTCTCTCTCATGCTCTCTCTCGTGCTCTCTGTGTAAGAACCGCTGGATGATGTTAATTACACTTTCAAATGCCCATTGTTTGGGGATCTTTTGTTTTTTGTTTGCTTTTTGACTTTTGGTCTCATTGAAAATTAATTTTTGAAATTTTACTTTATTTTTTTAATTTTTTTTTTTTAAGCGAGCTCTGTGCCTAATGTACAGCTTGAACTCGTGACCTGGAGATCAAGAGTCACACGCTCTACCGACTGAGCCAGCCAGGCGCCGCTAACTTCTTAAATTTTGAATAACTCTAAAGAGAGTAAGATAGATATGTCTAAGAGAAGGATTTAAAAGGTCCAGACATAGTGAACTCCAAAATTTTAATCGTAGTTGATTTCTGATAGGATTTATTAGTGATTTTTTTTCCTGTCCTGAATTTACTGTGATGTGTTCATGTTACTTTTGCAATTAGAAGAAAATGTGGTTCAGTGACGTCACGATTGCCAGCATGAGTGTTGAAGTTAGTAAAGGCTCCAGATGTGGAAAACTCAAGAGAAGGCTCCTTTCCTTGTAATGGATCAGTCAGCCCTCCATGGGGTTGGGGGCCTTGAGCTAAGAGCATTCCAGTGCTTGGGGAGGGCTACCTCGGGGAAAGGGGTGCAGGAGGGAGGGCTGTGTTCATTCGTTCCTTCACAGATGAGTTGTTATGAAGCTCTTAGAACAGTGCTTGCCACAGACAAAGTACGGTTTGTGTTTGTTTTGCTAATAAATATATTTGTGTGCCTTCTCTGAGCCAGGCAAGGTTACAGGTGCAAAGTTCTTGCCCTCGTGGACCTTCCATTTTGTGTGTGGGGGGAGACCAATAACAGACAGGTACCTATGTACGTGTCCTCTGGCGGTAAGTTCTGTGTGGAACAGTGAAGGGGAGTGAGAGAATTCTGGGCAGGGGAGAGATTACTAGTGTGTTCAGGGTGGTTAAGGAATGTTCTCTAATAAGAAGGCTGATTTGAGCCAGAGCCTGAAGGAGGTGAGGGAGCAAGCCATACCTCTATCTGAGGGAAGAGTGTTCGAGACCAGTGCAAAGGCCCTGGGGCAGAGCATGCTTGGCCTGTGGGGGGAGTAACAAGGAAGCTAATGTGGCTGGAGCAGAGGATGGAAGGAGATGAAGAAACAGGGACCAGACCGTCGGGAGCTTTGATTTCTGAAGGAAATGTTTTCGTTCAGGTTAAGCATTTATTTGAAAACTTTACTAGCGGAATTTGCAAAATAACATGGAAGTCGAGGCAATAGTACAGTGAACTGGTATGTACTCACCATTCAGCTTCAGTAACGTTAACCCGTGGCCAGTCTTCTGTCATCTCTGCCACCGCCTGCACCTCAGCCCACCCTCCCCGTGGTCCTGAAGCAGATCTCAGACTGTGTATCATTTCCTCCATCAGCATTTCAGAGTGTGAGCTAAAACATAGGGCTCTCGTTCATCTCCATGATGCTCAAGTGGTCCCGTCTGCGGCCAGCAGGAAGCCCTTCAGGTTAGCTCCAGTGCCGTGTGAGGGCACCCCTGTGGTCGCTGACAGCTGCCTTTGCTTCGGGCATAGTGGCCCAGGCCCCGCCTAGACGTTTCCTACCTCAGACGTGGAGTCCGTCATTTCTCCGACCATCCCTCATTCCTTGTGGTGGGAAATGGCATTACCGTATGGAGACCAAGCAGGCTCCTCCTGGCTTCTGGGAATCCTCAGTGGACAGAGATAGGACAGTTTCATTTTTCAGAAGGACGAGAACTGGCATGAAAGGACCGCGCTAGGCGCTGGGCTAGAGAAGGTGCAGGGATGACAGGCAGCGGGAAGGGCTGTCACCCCGGGCGGCGGTGGCAGGAAGATGTGGAAATATTCTGGATGTTTTGGAGTATTCTGGATATTTGTGTACGGGAGAGTTATCGGAGTTCATTAATGGACTAGTTTTGGGTGTGAAATAAAGGATTCGGTGAAGGTGACACGAGGGTCCCTGACTCCAGTGGCCCTTTACTGGGGGCAAAGGAAACCAGGAGAGCCGCCTCCTGGAGCGAGGAGGGGAAGAGTCCGGTGCCTGGTTTTAGACAAGTTGATTCGCCCTATCTGTTGGAAATCTAACTTGCAGGGTTGACTCGGCATTGGTATGTGGGTCTGGAGTTCAGGGAGAAGGTAGAGACAGGTGCTAGAGACAGGTACTCGGGTCGTCAGCATGGACAGGACATGGAGAAGCCGGGGACGGGATGAGCCTGGGAGACGCGTGCACAGAAACAGGAGGGAGTGGGAGACACAGCACAGCTTGTGGGTCAGGCCGCTGTCTTTTCTCAGTGGCAGAAGTGGGGTCACGGTTGAGAGTGGAGGCGCCAGAGTCTGCAGAGAGGCAAGGAAGCGAGGTGGGGGTGGGAGTGCCAGGGCACGTGGACATGGACGTGGAGCTTCTAGGCAGCTAAAGACCACCTGACATCACTTCGAACAATGGTGGGAGAGGCGAGGTGTGACTCGTAGAAATGGGGGAGTATGGATTCGGTTGTGCGCACGTTGACACTCAGGGGACCATGGTATATCCAAGGAGAAATGTCCCCCAGGCAGCTGGAGCTCTAAAACAGGGTGAAAGCCTGGGAGTTGAGCCGCCCCTGCCCAGGGAGGTGCCCCACAGCCGGGGCTGGGGCTCGCCGAGCAGGTTCTAGCCCTGCTCTCCTGCTCAGGCAGGCATGTAAGGAGCGCTTCCCCACGCACAGGGCCCTCTGCCCATCCAGGTAGTAGCTGACGCTATGAGACTAAGTCAGTCCCCTGAGAGAGTGTAGGTAGGGATGGTGGAGAGCTGGCTTCGGGGGGGCATGATCACAGGGAACCCTGATTTCTGTCACGTGGTACTTGGTTTAGACGCGTGAGGTAAGACAGGTAGGGAAGTCACGTCGGGAAGTTACGGTTTGGGTGAAAAGAAAAGTCATGGGATGGCTAGTTCCGTTTTTAACACACTAAACTGGTTCTCCATAAAACCTCTTTTTCATTGAATAATGAATGAGTGTAATTATCCTTGGGTATCAAAAATGTAAACTAACATTTCTTTTTAAAATAAACACATTTAAACTTTTTAGATTTGGATAGGTCTCTCGGAAATCACCAAGAAGGCGTCTCTCCTGGCCTTGTTTCACATTGGGCTCCCTGAATGCATCAGGACTGGTTACTCATCCTTTCTGTGCTTTTCAGGGGAGGCCAAGACACAGAGCAAGAAAAGCATTACTACCCATTCCGGATTATCCCGTATTTGATGCATGTACATAGCTCTACCCAGCCGGAATCTGAGCCCTGCTGTCTCACCCTGGTGGAGAAGATTCACTCCGGTTATGAAGGTAAGTCAGGCGTGTCTGCTTTCAGATCAAACGTAACCTGACAGTAGGAGCATGTGAAAGCCTGTTTACAGCAGCCACAGAACCGGAAAAGAGTGCTGGAGGCTTCATGTTGGTCCTGAACTCTTGGGCATTTAGAGCTGATCTGCCCTGACTTCTTGGTGGTTGTCTCCTTCAAGGTCGGCGCGGCCCTAAGGGTCTAAGCACAAACTTGGCCACCAATACCTGGTCCTCTGATCCATTCTCTACTGGTGACTATCATGTGGCCTTTGGCTTCTGCCCTGTGTGAAACAAGAACATGGAACTTGGGGGCGCCTCGGTGGCTCAGTTGGTTAATAAGCACCTGACCATTGGTTTCAGCTCAGGTCACGATCTTACCATTTGTGGGATCGAGCGCCGAGTCGGGCTCCATGCCCAGTGGGGAGTCTGCTTGAGATTCCCTCCATCTGCCTCTCCCCCTACGCACACCCTCTCTCTCAATAAATAAATCTTTAAAAAAAAAGAGAGAGAGAGCATGAAAATTGTTGCACAGTGAGGTCACAAGAATGAATTTATATTTTTTACATGTCCAGAAAGCCCTTAAGTGAAAACTGTAGTTTCTATCCTCTGGTGGCAGAACTACATTTCCAAATTCATGGGTTAATACACAAGCAGCTTCCATTTGTTATTTGAAATTAAAGTCAGTTCTGCTGTAATCTGACATGTGCTTTCCTAAAAATTACCATCCTATGCAAAAAAACAACAAAAAAACCCCACACCAAAACACACACACACACAAAACCACAGGGCTTAAGGGAAAAATGTGTTTAGGGGCACAACACTCAAAAACTTAACCACACGTTAACAGTGGGCCAGGAATCTAGTAAAAACAATAACACAGCTTTACACACATTAACTGTGAAGACATACACAGATGCTACAGTGCCTGGGCGCCTCACCTTGGAGAAGCCTCGCGGGGGCTCCCGGACGTGGCTGGTGGTGGGCCTGCTCCTCCTCAGTTAACTGTGAGGGTGGAAGGGGGGCCGTCTGAAGTCAGGTGTGGACGGGCGTGTCTCCTGTAAAACACGCGGCGCACAGAGGTAGCCCTAGATGAGGTGTGTGCGTGTGTTTGTGTATTCTTGGGGGACTCCCTTCACCTCTCATTTCTTGCAGATGAAACTGTGCATAATTTCAAATCACTGCGTTTTCAAAGTGAGCTACAGTCGAACTGACCGTACCCATTTTCTGACACAGATTTAAAATATCCGTGTCATAACTGACACCAAATCCAATGTACTTAGTTGTACACCACCACCAAATACCACCAGGCTTGCCGGGCCTGACCTTTCATTTCCTCCAGCTTTGACTGTGGGATTGTGATGAGTAAGCTTTCCGTGCACACAAACTCTATTTAAAATTAACTTCGGTAGGCATCGCATTTTGACCTACTCGAAATATAGTTAATAATGACAAGTATTATAATTTAACCGTAGCCTTGGCTTCTTGAAGGCCAGGGCCCTAAGTGAGATTTCTTCCATTTCATATAGAGATATTGTTCTCTCTTTAATGTAAGTGCTCAGTTAAGTGGATGACTGATTAGATATTTGCCTTTAGGTGAGTCTTTCTGTTTTTCATAGCTCCTCGAATCCCGGTGGATAAAAGAATTTTTACCACAACACACACCCCAGGCTGTGTCTTTCTTGAAATAGATGAAAGGTAAGTGCTTCTTTAAGCCTGAAAGAAATTTTGTTTCTGAAAATAGATAGAAATATGAGAACATTTACATTATGTTTACATACCTCTCCATTATGAAATGGACACCTATCCATTTGCCCCTTTGATTTCTTAGCTTGAAGTTTATGTTTTAATATAAGTATCTTGCACATTATACGTCTACAGTTTACAAGTTATATTTGATTTCACAGTAGTCTGCTTTAGGTAAGTCAGGAATTATTGTTCCACGTTACACAAGAGAACAGTGAACCTGGACATGGTACGTGATTGTCCTCTAAAGGAGACCAAAACTCTAACTCTGGCCTCGAGCTCCTGTGCAAGCATGATTTCCACCAGACAAGTGCTTTGCTAAACACCTTTTGATGAAATGTTTATGAGTCTGAAATGAGGGGGAGAAACAAAAGGAAAAAAAGAACAGTTTTTTGTTTTTTGGTTTTTTTTTGGTAAAGCTAAGTTTACTTAATTTAAAGCATCATCAGTCATTTTGAACTACCGTCTTTTCCACTTTTTTTTGGTATTAAAGTGCTCTTACTTAAAGAATAGTGATATAGGTAGTAGTCATTGCTTATTGTTGTTTTTTAATACTTTTATTTGGAAAAATAAACATTGTTATCCCCTGGTGAGTACCCTCTGTTCCCCCCCCGCGTTTATTTTTGAATTTTATTTATTTGTGAAATCTGGAAATCTGGGGCTCAGTGCACCATGGCATACATAATTGTAAAACAACAAAGTCAAACGGCTGGCACAGTTATGATCGCTCTTAATTTTGATTTTTTAAAAATCTTAACACCTGAAAATAGGTTTATTTTATAATGGATACCCTGAATCTAAACAGTAATTGGTGAAATACTTTGTATCATGGAGTCTGTAGAGAGTAAGAACATTTAGCTGCAGATACCATGGTAATGGCTTAAATTTATTGCATTAGAAAATGTTTGTGAATTTGTACACACAGAAAACATTTATGCAGTCAGTTCTTTCCAAGTCATCCTTAAGGTTCTGCATTCATGGCTTTCCCTAAAGCTTCATCCTGCACATGTCTTTGTGTTCCTGGTGTCTATTTGTTACTACCTTATGGGAGACACTGTTTCTGTGTGGTTTTAATCGTGCTGGATAAATTTGTAGCCTGCTTTATTAACTTAAAACCATAAGCATTCTTCTGCGTTATGACATGATCTTTGTAAACTTTTTAAATGGGGAAGGGGAGGCAATCAGAGACCCCTGAGGAACTTGCTAAAAATACAGATTCCTGGTCTTACCCCAGAAACCGTGATTTAGTTAGCCTGTGGTGAGCCTATGAATCTTTTTCTAGCAAGTTCCATAGGCGACTTTGACACATGTCCAATGCCCAGCATTTCTTAGATTATGGAACCATTTCCCCATGGTGTGGGCACTGAGGTGGTTTGCTCCTTTTATAAATGCTGGAATGACATCTTTTGCATACCTTTTTTTTTCATATTTAGAATTAAGTAAAAAAGTATTGTTTAAAGTGTATAAAGTCTGAAAATTACTTGTTGCATGTAACGTGCTGTCTGTGCTGTGTCTCTACCCCAGAGCGGTGCCTCTGCTGGGTTACCTACCTCAGGATCTGATGGGAACGTCTGTCTTAGCATATCTGCACTCAGAAGATCGTTCTCTCATGCTTGCTGTACACCAAAAAGGTAAGGACCTGCTTCTTTATAGGAGGAAGTTTTTGTGTAACCACTCATCCGCTCTAATTCTCCATTTCATTTCTTGTTAGATCTTCTCATAAGCTCTTAATCACTAGAGCTCAACCTTTAACAGGTGAGCACTGTGTTGAAGCTGCTAAAACAATTTTTTTTTCTATTTTGACATCTGAAAAACTTACCAATAAACGCTTAGAAAAAGACATCTGCAGTAAATATCTGCATTAAATAAATTCTAATCTCGTCGTATTATCTTATATAGTCTTGAAGTATGCAGGCCACCCTCCCTTTGAACACTCACCCATTCGATTTTGTACTCAAAATGGAGATTACGTCATCTTGGACTCCAGCTGGTCCAGCTTTGTGAACCCATGGAGCCGGAAGGTATCGTTCATCATTGGTCGGCATAAAGTTCGAACGTAAGTCAGTCAGTGTTCATGGTTTTAGAAGAACGTTTTTACCAAATAGTATTCTTCCACCTACTGACTCCCTTTGACTCAATTGATACATAAACCAAATAAAGCACAGATTTTTTTTTTAAGTGCTTTTGGAAGACCGTTTTGCAGTGTATGTCAAGAACCTTGAAAGATTTCTACCTCTTTGACCTCATGATTCCCTTATGGAAACAGTCTAAGGAAATAGGCCTAAATACAGAAGAGCTTTATAAAGAAAAGACACATTTGCACCATTGTTCAATCATAATGGCAGGCTTAGAGTAGCTTATATGTTGATCATTAAGTAAGTTCTAGACTATTTGTTTGACGTGTTGTATTATTGGTCAAAGGAAATTTTTGCAAAGATTATATAACATGAGAAATTGATATGTATTCGATTTAAAAAGCAGCATACAAAACTGTTTATACCATATGAATACATATGTGTTCAGATGACACACAAACACTGTGAAGTAGGAAAAAGAAGAAGAAAGGAAATAAAATACAAATTTTGGCTATGTGTAGGGTAATGGGATGAGGGTTGGTTTGTTTTGGTTTTGGTTTTTTTTTTTTTTTGTCTTTTCTGAATTTTAAAGTTCTCTTTAGTGACCACGTAAAACTTTTTATATCAGCTTCTGCTGTCAAATTCCACTTATTGATGTCCATTGTATCAAATCTTTATTTTTAAAAATTAGATGCTTTAGCTGTTATTTTCCTGCCAACACAGCTGACTATGGCCTGTTTGATTACTGCTACCATCCATGTAACAGAACCTTGTGAAATGAATCTGGAACAACCTGGCCTGCTACTCTTGTAGCCTAAAATACTCCCAGTCCCTTGACTTTTTGGTTTAAAATTTAAAATTGACCTGTAGGTTTCTCAGCTGGGCCATAGGTTCCCCTGTGGTAACGTTTTGGTTTTTTTTTTTTTAACATGGAGATTTTACTTAACTCTTTAGGATCATGCTGAGATTGAGACATTATGTCTTTTGTGTTTTGTTTTACAGTTTTGTGCACATAAGCGTAAAACTGAGAACAGTAGGTCTACCAGTAAGACTTCTTTTGTCATGTTTTAATACTGTAATAGAGGATACCTAGCCATGGTGAGAAACGGTCCCAAGGTCCTCCTGTGTCTTTGTGCTCTGGGGTTTGGCCTCTCAGCAGAGCAGGTCCAGAACCCTAATGGGAGAAATGCGCTCCATGCTGCCTTAACTCAAGAGACCAATTTGTGCTAGAAAACTAATGTAATAAGTAGGATAGGAAATATGACTGCCAATTCAGTGTTATTCATGTTGGTCAGAAAGGGCTTTTTTTTCCCGGTAGGGAAATCTGTGGGGAAATGAAAATCAAATCAAGTGGTTCCTTAGTATGACCATAGGAAACCCCAGAGCAAGTATGATTGCTCTCATGAGGTGTCCCTCTGGATGTCTGTCCATCGGTCTGCGTGCCTTCCCTGTCAGTGCCAGAGCCATGTCCTAGATGCTTCAGGTGTCCTTTCAGTTTGATTATATAACGTATGAAATTAACTGATAAGTACTCACAGTGTTTGCAGTTTAAAAAAAAATTATAAATTATACCAGCATTTGCATCTCAATTTTTGGGATGATGTGAAGGAAAAACTTAGAGACTAGTAAGTGTTCATCACTCTTGTAAAATAATCATCCACTATGTTTATACAACTGTTTTAACGAGGACTTCTGGGTCACCTGCTGTGCCGGGCATTGTGCTAGACCCTGAGACTAAGATGGTAGACCACACAGACAGCATCTCCACTGTCCTGGGGCCCACAGTGCAGTGGGAGAGCCAGGACCTAGAAATGGCACATGTGAGTGGAGTTTTGGCAAGTGTGAGGTTGAAATGGGAACAGTGAGGGGGGACAGGGAGGGTGTTCAGCAGGGAACCTAGCCACCTCTCTGTGGGCAGGCAGGTGATCCTACAGATAATATCCATATACTTGGCGAAAGAGTAACTTTCGCAGAGGTCCCTTGAGGAGGAGGTGCGGAAGTGGAGACAAGAACCAGGTTTTCTCCCTGACTCCTCGAGCAGCATCCTTCCATAGCCAGTCACCTAGCGCTGCACAGCATTTGCCACTTTCTGGTCAAGGCTGCGTCTCCACAGCCTGCACGTTCATCATCTTGAGTTACATGATTACTGACTGAAGACACAACCTGGCTTTGTAGAAAGTTTCACAGACAGGAATAGACCTCACAACACAAAGCAGTTGGATCTATTTCTGTTCCAGAATTTCATTTGACAGACAAACCCAAACGTTTCTGGAAGGTATTCAAGCTCATAGTGCGTGGACGTATTTATCACGGGTCAGATGTACCTGACCCCCAGACTGCTCCTTCCCTGATGGATTCATTCTTGTATGTGCCTGTTGGAGGTACCAGAGGGGTGAACACAGCAGGGCAGAGAGCCTGACCCCACAGAGCTCACATGCCAGTGGGAAGCAGGGGGGCACAGGCATTAGACGGGCTAAGGGGGTGCCGCGCACAGTGTGTCAGGCGGTGCACTCAAGCACAGTTTGCCGTGTACGTTCCACATGCCCCAGGCTGTGCCGATAGCTGTCGGAAGGCACCACCCACGGTCTGCCCGCTGAGCGAGACGACATTGCCACGGGGGTCTGCACAGAGAGGGAAGTGGTCTCCAGAGGCAGAGCTCTTCCTGACTACTTTTATGACACTGCTAATATCCTGTGGTTTTTTTTGATAATTGTTTCTTTGGGAAAGTGTGTTTTTAGGGAATTGGGTTGTGCGTTTAAGTTGTGAGAAACAGCAGGATGGCAGAATGGAAAAGGGAAGGCACTGGCTTTGGAGTCAGGCCTGTAGATTCAAACCCTGACTGCTGCTTCTCAGGTATGAGAGACAGCAAGTAACCCAACCTCTCTGGCATCACGATGATTCCTGCTTCGTAGGGTTGGGAGGACTCAGGAGATGACAGGTCTGATCAGTGTATCACGTTAAGAGTACTTGAGTTACTGAGGTGCTGAGAGGCAATACGCTGTGGTGGCAAAAGTGCACCCCGAAACCTAGACTCTGGTCCCTTCATGAATACCTGCGTAGACTTTACCAGCTGGGTGACTTTGAGAAGTTTTCAACTCCAGTGAAGGAGGGAATACTTGCTAGAGCACTTGGGACGGTGTCTGGCACCTTGTAAGGATTTTAAAAATGTTCTTCTTGCTGTATGTTCTAAAAGCAGCATGGTTCCTGTCACATAGAAGGTCCTAAATGAACATCATTTCCTTCTCTTCTTTGTGATGTTTTCTAGCTGGCACACCTGCCTCTCACTGTGTTCAGGTAGTAGTTTTGAAACACTCTAGTGTAAACAGGACTGCAGGTCGTGACAGCCACAGTTTCATCAATAGTTGGGTTGCTGAAGCGATCCGGTACATTAAACATTAAATGTTGTTTGGCGGACCTAGGGTCTTAAAATTTCTACAATAGGTTACTCAGTTAATGTTAAATGTTGAGACCAGTGGTTGTTGAAGATCTTTTGGTAGCTAAGGAGGTTGCTCGTCACTGATTTTAGATTTCTACAAAAACAGTGCTGACACAGGTGTTGAAAGACTAGAGCTCTAGACAATCCAAAGAAGCCTCTTAATGTCTTAGTATTTTTTCTGCCTCCACAGATGGGATTTAGCTTTATATTTTCTATTTGAAGTCAAAGAGTTGCTCTGTAGAAGTATAGATTTATTATTTGAACATTCTGTTTAAAAATCACTTTAGACTTTATTGTAAATTTTGAATTGCCTGACTCCATCTTGCACTTGGCACTTTGTAGGAGTCCACTGAATGAGGATGTTTTTGCTACCAGAAAAAGAAAGACGAACAGTAATGACAAAGACATAACAGAATTACAAGAACAAATTCACAAACTTCTCTTACAGGTAAAGTGAGATTTTAAAAAGCAAACAAAATTTCCATAATCATGTTTTATTTTAACAGTCGATCTTAGTGAAGTCACCTCACAAAAATACACCACAAGGAGAGAAATCTTTACCCTCTGCGTTCCAGGAATTTTTGTCTTCCTGTTTTTGTTTTTATTTATTTTTTATTTATTTTTTAAAAATTTATTTATTTATTTGACAGAGTCATCGAGAGAGGGAACACAAGCAGAGGGAGTGGGAGAGGGAGAAGCAGGCTTCCTGCCGAGCAGGGAGCCCGATGCGGGGCTCGATCCCAGGACCCCGGGACCATGACCTGAGCCGAAGGCAGTCGCTTAACTGACTGAGCCACCCAGGCGCCCCCGTTTTTGTTTTTAAATTCAGTTTTATTCATCTTGTTTTCCTTTTCCTGAGTGAAATGCACAGAACATTCTTGTAAGATCCCATTCCAAGAGAGCAAAGCTAGTCAGCAGGTCAGACAGGGAAGCTGCTTCTAAATGAGAGCATCCTTCATGTATTCCGGACGCTACCGTGTGTCAACCTCTGGCTTTTGGCTTCGGTATTTCAAAAAACAATTCCGGGGCGCCTGGGCGGCTCAGTCGTTAAGCGTCTGCCCTCGGCTCAGGTCATGGTCCCAGGGTCCTGGGATGGAGCCCCGCATCGGGCCTCCTGCTCTGCGGGGAGCCCGCTTCTCCCTCTCCCACTGCCCCTGCTTGTGTTCCCTCTCTCGCTGTGTCTCTCTCTGTCAAATAACTAACTAACTAACTAACTTAAAAAAAAAATTGCAATTTTAAAGGTGGGGGCAGAGGGATGGCAGGTCTCCGGACCTGGTTGTTACAAGGCAAAGGTGGGGGAGACTACCTGTTGAAAACAAATGCCAATAATGATTCGTATGGAGATCCCGTTAATAAACCAGAAAAGCGTGTGCGGATAGGGTCCCCGAGAAAACTGTGAGCCCCGGAGCTTCCACACGGTCTTCCCCAGAATCTCTAGGGTTCGCGAGTGAAGTTCATGGCACAGAGCGTGGCGTGTATTTAATTCCTTGGGTCTGCTCTAAACCCTGCGTAAAGAGCTAGAGTTCATCTCCACATTTCGTTCAATCTGTTGTGCGGCTTGCTAAACATTCGCTGTTCTAGAAACGCCCGCCTGGACTAGACAACGAGGCCCTGCCCTGGAGGATGGCTGAAGGGAGAGAGGAGGGCCCTCCTGGTCCGCGGCCGCGTTAAAAGCGTCGGCCTGCACGCGCCCGGCTTAGGGGTTCGGGGAGGTCCGCGCTGGCTCTCCCCGCGGCCGCGGCCCCGCATCTCCTCCTTCCTTCAGCGGCGCCTCCTTCTTCCCGCAGCCGGTTCGCGGGAGCGCCTCCAGCGGCTACGGAAGCCGGGGCGGCAGCGACTCGCAGGAGCCGCGCCTCAGCCTCCCGTCGCCCAGTGAGCGCGGCGGAGCGCGCGCCGAGGCGGCGCGCGGGGAAGCGGTACGTGGGCGGCGTCGTGCGTGCGAACGTGCGTGCGTGCGGGCGGGCGGCGTCCTCTGCGTCCCTGCCTGGTGCGGTGAGACGGGTCAGCACCACTTCCGCGTCTGAGCGCGTGGGACGGCGTGTTGTGTGTCCTTGACCCGCTGGCCCCGTGTTTGGTGAGCAGACGTCCTCGTCCGTTTTGGGTCGGAAAAATGCCTGTGAAAAGAAAACAGCCCCTTTGGGGCGCCCGGGTGGCTCAGTCGTTAAGCGTCTGCCTTCGGCTCAGGTCATGGTCCCGGGGTCCTGGGATCGAGCCCCGCATCGGGCTCCCTGCTCAGCCGGGAACCTGTTTCTCCCTCTCCCACTCCCCCTGCTTGTGTTCCCTCTCTCGCTGTGTCTCTGTCAAATAAATAAATAAAAATCTTAAAAAAAAAAAAAGAAAACAGCCCCTTTGCAAGGTGGTATTTGGGTTCATCGTGTGCTTCCTAACAGTTACGAACTGGGGACACACTTAGGTGAAGTTGCCTCTGTACCGGGGTGCTGCGGCCCGGGGGGAAGCGAGTTCGCGTTGTCACTGTGCCTTTAGTCGTGTCCTCAGAGAACCGGGGGTTAACGTGCTTCATCTTTTAATGTGTGTCTTGTTTGTCTTTTAATTTTCTGATTTTTTTTTCAAAGATTTTATTTATTTATGTGAGAGAGAGAATGAGATAGAGAGAGAGAGCATGAGAGGGGGGAGGGTCAGAGGGAGAAGCAGACTCCCCGCCGAGCAGGGAGCCCGATGCGGGACTCGATCCCGGGACTCCAGGATCATGACCTGAGCCGAAGGCAGTCGCTTAACCAACTGAGCCACTCAGGCGCCCAATATGAAAACACACATCTTTTTTTTTAATATTTATTTATTTGAGAGAGAGAGAGCATGAGAGGGGGGAGGGTCACAGGGAGAAGCAGACCCCCCGCTGAGCAGGGAGCCCGATGCGGGACTCGATCCCGGGACTCCAGGATCATGACCTGAGCCGAAGGCAGTCGCTTAACCAACTGAGCCACCCAGGCGCCCAATTTTCTGATTTTTGAAACCTATTCTGTCGTTCTTTTCCCTCAGCTGACTTTGCAGCAGGTCTGTGCCAGTGTGAACAAAACCAAGAATCTGGGTCAGCAGCTCTACATTGAGTCAGTGGCCAAGTTAGCAGGTGAGCGAGTGACGGGGACGCGCGCCGGACGGCCTGGCGGTGAGTCAGCAGGGCCGCCCCCGACCTCCGCGCGCGGGCCTGCCCTCTCCTGCGTGGGCGCGGGGCGTGCGAGCACAGAGCCGCGACCCTGTGCTGCCTGCCGCCTTTCACGTTGACTTGCCCAGGTGATGACTGAAATGATGCTAATGGTAGCAGCGAATACTGCTCTGAAAGCTGAACGGTATGAGAGTGTGATTTCTGTGTGTTTCCACTGAAGAATTAATGTTTTTGATAATACCAACAGATTCATAGATTCTCCCCCATGAGGCATCTGTCAACAGAAAGAGTTAATTGTAGAGTGCGTCTCATAGTAATCCCTTCTTGTCATTTAGAACAAATGAAGGATATTTATGACCTAAATTGAAGGAAAAACTGGGGACTTTTTTTTTTGATACATGTTTACTTTTCTCAGATACGACGAGGTAAGGAGCATTCCGAAGGAATTGGATCACTCATGATAATTGACGTTTTTAGAAAAGTCAACCTACTGGCCTTATACAGCAAAAGAAAGATCTGTAATGTAGAGATCAAATTATATTAACTCTTTAGTTTAGCTAGCTTTCCTTTCATTTGTTTTCCTGAACGTTAGTATAACCTCGGAAGTCTTTATCGGTTTGGTCCCCTGAATGCTGTTAATGGTTTCTATCATTGTCACATGTGGGTATTTTACACAGTAGGGTGAAATTTCTTCTCTAAGGTCAGTAAAAATTTTTTAAAAATAATAGCTGTATTTTCCAGGGCTTGCCATAATTTACAAAACAAAAACATCCACCTGCTGCTCCTACAGATGATATCATGGGGAGCCTCTAGGCTGCCCTCTGGATAGAGCATGTCCAGCCCTTGAGTTTTTCTTGTCTCCTTGGCAGGAGGTTTAATATTCTGCTTGTCTCTTTTGCCATAGATGCAAGGGCACGAGATAGAAACAACACCTTTTCTGTCCCTTGAACTTATCAGATTCTCTCTCTGCAAAAGAATTTATTTGAGTATCTTCCTTGCTGTATATCCTTGTCCTATGTGCTGGCATTGGAACTTCTTTAGGGGGATTTGAAGACTGAAGTTTCTAAATGTTTTCTTTTTTGTCTGGTCCACTTTGTGCTGCTCACTGCTGCTTGGGCCTAGGACCTCACGTTAGGGCCACGATTTTATGTCCTGACCTCTGTATTTCTTGTCAGAGTACAAATTGTTTCTCACCTTCTGTTTTGTTCCATTTCTTATCATCTACCATTGGTCTGGAAATGCTATCAGTACCATGGTTTGAAGGCTGTGTTTTTAAGCAGACATCAATATTCCATCATTCACCATTTTACAAAATTTAAGCTATAACTAATTCTGTGTATTTGTGATGCTATTCTAGAAACTGATATTATTCTCCTACTTAGCTATGTGCTGTATTGGACTCTAACACACATAGGATGTGACTTTTGGGGGCGAGGGAAAATCTGCCATTTAATATTGCTTGGGGGGAACTATTGTTACTTGGGCATCTTGATTTTATTAGCATTTTAAGACCTACAAGTTCAAAGAGCTAGTAAAATATCTTTATTACTCTTTACTCAAGAGAAACAAGTATGCAACTTAAAGATAAAAATGTTGTAATTTAAATATTAGAAATAGCACCACTCTGGGGCGCCTGGGTGGCTCAGTCGTGAAGCTTCTGCCTTCGGCTCAGGTCATGATCCCAGGGTCCTGGGATCGAGCCCCGCATCGGGCTCCCTGCTCCGCGGGAAGCCTGCTTCTCCCTCTCCCACTCCCCCTGCTTGTGTTCCTGCTCTCGCTCTCTCTCTGTCAAATAAATAAATAAAATCTAAAAAAAAAATAAAAAAGAAAGAAAAAAAGAAATAGCACCACTCAAAAGGAAAATACTAAATAATCATTGTATACGTGTTTTATATACAGGCTGTCAGAGCCAAAAAGAGCATAAGGTTTTAAGTTTATATTTTTACCTTTCTTATGAGGGCAGGTTTGGCTTTGAAATAGAACAAGAAGGGAAATTTTAGAAGTTACTATGGAAAGGCAAGGAGTAATGAAGATCTAAAGCCCCTTCATCAGCTACACATACCGATGCCAGCTGCCAGAAGCAGTTGGGGAACCTGGGGAAAATGGACTTTTCCACTTCTAGAGTGTCAGCGCCTGAGGGAGAAACATTGATCCGTGAACTGAACTCACTCAGCGTGAGCATGCTTTGCTTTATGCTCAGGGAGAGCTGGAGAGAGCATCATTCCAAACTGACAAGGAAAAAAGCTATATGGCAGTGAGTTCATGAGCTTTCTTGAACCCATCAGAGTGCTGAGGCTCCAGGGCAGCCAACAGGCCTAAAATCTAAGAGGGACACATGCTTGCAGGCAGACGTGAGATCAAGCCCCGGATACTGGTGCACCGGCTGACAGGACAGTAACTCGCAAGAGACAGGCCTCCGAGGCATAATGCAAAGGGAAGATCATGGGCTGCAAATGGAGCAAATATTGGCAAAAACCCAAAGTTCTCTAGCACACCAGCCACCACATAAGCACAAAGTGTCATTAGAGGGATTTGAAAGCTGTGATACATTGAGTGAAACCATAGCAACAACAAATCTCAGTCCTGGCCAACAAATTAGTTAGGTTAAATGTCTTCAGAGGAAAACTAAAGCTGTTAGCCCAGAATTCTCTACCTAGTGGAAAGTGTCTTTCAGAAGTGAAGGAGATCTAAAGAGTTCTCAAACAAAAATGGCGGGGTGGGGGGTGGTGTGTGTATTGCCAGCAGATCCATTCTATGAGAAACACTAAGGGAATTTCTAAAGGTGGAAGGAATATGGTACCAGATGTAAAACTTGAATCGACACAAAGAAATGAAAAGCACTGGAAACAGAATGAAGAAATTTTATTTTTTACTTATTTTTGATTGCCCTAGAAGGTAACTGACTAAAGCAGAAATACTCTCCCGCATTTATGACCTATGTAAAAATACTATAAAGGATCAGGAGAGGCACTGGGAATGTGCTGCTGTGGAGTCCATACACCAGAAGCAATGTTATTTGAGGGTAGAAACTGATTCCTTAAAGGTGTATGTTGTGAACTTTAGAACAATTATTAGAATTCGTTTTTAAAGAAGTATAAATAATATCAGTAGAGGAGACAAAGCGGAATTTAAAACATTTTATGCAAAATGAATCAGAAAAGAAACAAAAACCCAGATGGAATAAATGGAAAACAGCTAGCAAAGTTGCATACTTTTAATTCAGCTGTTTCTGTAATCACATTAAATGTGAATGTTCTCAGTGTACCAGCTGGAAGACTGACATTATCAGTTGGATGAAAAAAGGTAAGAAGCAGCTGCATAGTATCTACAAGAACCCATTTTGCAAATAAAAACATAGGTTAAGAGCAAAAGGTTAGAAAAGATATGCATGCTAACAGGGATCCAAAGAAAGCTGAAAAGCTGTATTAATATCAGGTAGTGTAGATTTTAGGACAAGGAACATTACCAGGGTTTCAGAGGGGTATTGCATGACAACAGAGGGGTTGATTCTCTGAGAGCAGGTAACAGTCCTAAAAGGTTATACACCTAACATCAGAGCTTCAAAATACATGAAGTAAACACTGATAAAGACTTTGAGAAATAAATCTGCAGTGGTAGTTAGAGACTGTAACACACCTTTCTGTGTAATTGATAAAACAAGTGGACAGAAAATCAGTAAAGATGTAGAAGACCTGAACAGCACTGTCAACAAAATTGGCCTAATGGACATTGATGGAACACTCCAATCAACAACAACATGATGCTTATTTTTCTCAAGGGCACATGGACTGTTCATTAAGATAGACCTTATTCTGGGCCATAATACGAGCCCTATCAGTGTTTTAAAAATATAAATCATAACAAATATATTCTCTGACCTAATGGATTAAACTAAGAATCAGTAACAGGAAGGCTTATCTAGAAAATTCACAAATGTTGGGAAATTAAAGAACACACCTCTGAATGACCCAAAAGGGACCCTTCCCTTTAAGAGAAGTAAAAACATTTTGAACTGAATGAATTGAAAAAAAAAACACAAAAAAATCATGGAATGCAGCTAAAGCAGTGCTTAAAGGGAGATTTATAGGATTAAGTGATTATATGGGAAAAAGAAGAAAGGTCTCAAATCAATAATCTAAGCTTCCTCAAGAAACAATAGCAAGAAGAGCAAATTAAATCCAAGCTAAGCAGAAGGAAAGAAATCATAAAAACCGCATTATCGATGGAATCGAGAACAGAAATCAATAAGAGATAATTAATGAAATCAAAAACTGATAAGAATAAAATTAAAAACCTTTGGCCATACCAAACAAGAAAAGAAGACAGAAATGCTCACTATTGGGAATGAAAAACCCCACAGATGTTAAAGAGACTACAAACAACTCCATTCCCAAACTTTGGTCTATTAATATCTTGAAAGAAAGAACCTATCAGAACTCAGTGAAAAAGAAATAGGTAGCTAGAATAGACTTATGTGTATTACAGATACTGAATTTGAAGTTAAACACCTTCCAAAAAGAAGTTTAGGCCCAGCTGGTTTTACTGGAGAATTCTATCAAACATTCAAGGAAGAAATAATGCCAGTTTCTACATAATCTTTTTCAGAAAATAGAAGACAGAAGAAAATAGAAGAAGGACGTTTGGAAAGGAAACTCCCAGACTTCCTTTTATGAGACCGTTATTACTCTAATACTGAAACAAGATAAAGACAGTTCCAGGAAACTACAGGCCAGGATCCCACGTCAGTATATTTGTAAAATCCCCAATTATATATCATCAAATCAAATCCAGCAAAGCATAAAAAGGAGAAATATATCACAACCAAGTATGATTTATCCTAGGAATGCAAGGCTGGTTCAGTATATGAAAGTCAGCCACATTTATTCACCGTATTAACAATAAAGAAGACAAACCCAACAGGTTATTTTAATAGATGGAGAAAAAGCCTGTGACAAAATTCAACATCCACGCATGATAAATGCTCAAAAATTAGAAACGGAAAAGGGATTTCATTAATCTAATAAAAAAGGCATCTACAGAAACCTATAGCTAATGTTTATGCTTGATGGTAAGAGAATGCTTTCACCTTCACCTGGAGAACAAGTCAAGGGTATCCACTCACCATGTCTTAACATCAAACTGGAAGTCCTGTGCCCAGTGCAATAGGCAAGAGAAATAAAAGGCATAATAGATTGGAAAGGAAGAAATAAAACTCTCTTCACAGATGACAGGATTGTCTACATAGAAAAATTCTAAAGCATCTACAAAAAAAGCTCCTACTGGTGTTAGCAAGGTTATAAGATACATGGTCGGTATATAAGATCAATTAAAGTTCTGTGTACTAACAAGGAACATTTGGACCAGAAAATTTTTTTAAACTACCCAAAACTGAAATTCTTAGATAAAAAATCCAACAGAATATGTGAAACAATACATATACAGAAAACTTCAAAACACTGATAAAAGAAAAACTTTAAAATAAAAAGTACTAAGTAAATGAAAAGATACATCAGGTTCATGGTTTGGAACACACGATGTTGTTGTCAGTTCTCCCCAGCTTGATCTGTACATTCAATGTCATTCCAAGTAAACTCTCAGCAGTTTTTTCTATGGGGGGGGGAGAAACTAAAACAGCCAAAACAATTTTGAAAAAGAGTAACAGTGTTGGAGGACTCACTCCATCTGATTTCAAGACTTAGATGTGAAGCCACCATAATTAACACAGTGTGATACTGGTGAAAAGATCAGTGGACAAATTAGAGAGTCCCAAAACAGACCTGCACAAATACAATCAGTTTTTGAGGTGCAAGATCAAGTCAGTGGATAATAGGTAAACTTTCCAAAAAAACAACAAAAAAAATGGTACCGTACAATGAGACATCCACATATGTAAAAAATGAACCTCAACACATAGCTCACATGTTGTACAAAAGTTAACTCAAAATTGGTCATAGACCTAAATATAAAACTTAAAACTACAAACTTCTAGAAGAAAACTTAGGAGGAAACCTTTGTAATCTTGGGTTTGGCAAAAAAGTTACTAGATACGACATCAAGTGTGATCTGTAAAAAAAAAAAAGAAAAGAAAAATTGATGAGGTGGACTTTATCAAAATTAAAAACTTCTCCTTGAAAGACATTGGTAAGACAATGAAAAGACAATGTAATATAGACAGAATAAAAAATTCATATCCAGAATATGTAAAACACTGTCAAAATTCAATAATAAGATAATCCATTCAAAAAATGGTCAAGAGATCTGACACTTTTCCAGTGAAGTACACACAGATGGCAAATAACATGGGAAACGACACTCAGTCTCAGTCATTATGAAGTTAAAACCACATGAGATACCATCACACACCCATTAGAATGGCTAAAAGTAAAAGAAAAAATACTGGCAGTACCAAGTTCTGGCAAGAATGAGGAGTAACCGGAGCCCTCAGGCAGTACTGAAGGCAATGTGGAATTGTACAGCCACTTTAGAAAAGTTTGGCAGTTTCTTATAAATTAAACATACTCTTTACTGTATGACTCAGCAATTTCATTCTTATTTACTCAAGCAAAAGAAAAACTCAAATTCACATATAAACTTGTCTGTGTATGTTTATCACACGTCGTTTGTACTCATCCAAAATTGGAAACAACCTAGGTGTCACTCAACAGGTAAATGGATATATGTAACCAATTTTTAAGCATTTTTAAATGTCCAGTTTGGTGGCGTTAAGTCCATTCACCACTAGGTTAAAGTGTAAGAGAAACAGGATATTTGCATGGCCTCAAAATGTGCCTTTGAAATTACATCATGTATTACATGTAAAAGAGTAACTTTACGTGGAGGAAACCTGGCAGACAGCACCTTAACCAGTGATCAAGACTGACACACCAACAGTAAACATGTCAAGGTCATGTCCTCCTGGCTGAGGCACTGAGAAGGGCATAGCACCTCTGCAGGACTCTTCCCAAGATGCACACCCTCAACCTCATCATGACGGAACATCAGGGAAACTCAAGTTGAGGGGCATTCCCACAGAATTCCTGTCCTGTACGCCTCACAAGAGTTGAGATCAAGAAAGACAAGGAAAGACAGACAACTGACAGCTGAAATCACCATGAGACCCCAGGTTGGACCCTGGAGCAGAAAATGACATTTCACGGTGAGGTGGGTGACATCCACATAGGCTGTAGTTCAGTAGCTGTGCGCACTGTGCATTTCCTAGTTTCATTCCTTCTGTTAATAGTTCTGTAAGATGTTACATTAGTGGAAGCAGAGTGGAAGGTATTACAGGAACTCTCCTGTTTCTGTAACCCTCTTCAAGGTTAAAATTATTTAGAAATTACAAGTATAGGAGCTCCTGGCTGGCTCGGTTGGTGGAGCGTGCGACTCTTGATCTCAGGGTCATAAGTTCAAGCCCCCTATTGGGTGTAGAGATTACTTAAAAAAAATCTTAAAATAATTTTTTTTAAGTTTAAAAGTTAATGAGTGACAGTTAAGCAGGCCTTTTTCTGTAATCCCCTCTGGAAATGGAGCACCGTCTTCCAGGCAGCTAAGATGACCTTCACTAACAACGACAATGGTAGCTAAGTCAGCCTCTCAGCAGCGTTTGACGTGACTGGTTCCTCTTTCCTGGAACTCATTTCCCGGCTTGGTTTCCGCGATGCCATGTTGGCGGACTCTCCCTTACCTTTCTTTTTTAGTCTCCATTCTTGGCTCATCATTCTCCACATGAGGTTGAAGTTCATCAGGGTTCCAACCTGAGGCCTTGTGTCTTCTCTCTGTACCCCTGCTAACCAGTATGGTAGCTACTAGCCACACTCTAAATTCAAATTAGTTACAAATAAATAAAACTTAAAATTCAGTTCCTCGGTTGCTGTAGCCACATTGCAAAGTGCTTAATGGCTACCTGTGGTGTTGGTGGCCACCGTGCTGGACAGCACAGATGAAGGGCAGTTCTGTCACTGCAGAAAGTCTTGTTGCACACAGGTCTACAGGGCAGTGCCTGGTGCTTCACACGGTGTCTGGTCACCCCACCCCCAGTGATGCCAACATCGGTCAGTTGGCAGGTAGTGTCAGCTCAGTATCATGAAGTCCCCATCAGCCTTCCACCTGATAGTTTTATTATTAATCTTTGCCTGCAACGTTTGTTTCATTCCTTTTTTGTAAAAACAGGAATCATTCATGTAATCATTCCGTATGGATATCTTTCTGTATTGGTGCATTTTTTTAGATCTGAGCTCATCTTTAAAATAGCTACATAATATTTTCTTGAATGTATACATGCTAAAGGACCTGATCTAATTGTGTTGGATAAGTTCTTAGGCATATAATATTTTTAATTATGTATCCTTTTGTTATGTTTCAGATGAACAGAAGGCCCCATCTGCCGTCCAGACATTGAAAAACAATAGCGTGCCCACGGAGTCCTGTGAAAACTGGGGAGAAGACCAGCATAGCCCATCCTATCAGCAAATAAACTGCATTGACAGTGTTATCAGGTGTGAGACACAAGTTTTGAGAACATGTCTGTTTTTCCAAAAGCACACATCGCCATTGTAAGCTCACACCTTACATCATTTTTAATATTGGTTGTCTTGATTTTTCACTCTAAGTCAATAGATATTTACGGAGTGCCTACTTACATATAGTTTATAATAAATTGAACATTTCAGGGGATGCAAAAAAATTAGAAGATGGATCCCTTCTTTGAAGGAGCCATGGTGTGGTTGAGAAGACAAGACCTTGATCATAAAAATTAAATGAGGCAAGATTTGGAGATCAACTCAAGGTCACAGTGAAAGAGATACGACAGGCCAGTGATTGAGGCTGGGATGGTCAGGGAAGACCTCATCAAAGAAGAGAGTACAAAGTACCCACACAGAAATGGGAAGTGGCAGAGTTAGGGGACAGGCAGGCATGCATGACCTAATTCTGTTGTTGCAGATACTTGAAGAGTTACAACATTCCAGCTTTGAAAAGAAAGTGCATATCCTGTACCAATACAACCTCTTCATCCTCAGAAGAAGACAGACAGAACCACAAGGCAAATGATGCCGAAGCCTTGCACGGTAACACGGATGCCCTCCTAGCTAGACAGACGACGATTACAAAGCCATCCCTTTCTCTTTCTAAGTTTTTGTCTTTACTTATTTTGTTAATCACAAACAAGCCTAGTTTCATATTGTTCCTTTATGGCCAGTAGGTTTTAGCCCATCAGTTACAAACATCTGCAAATTGAGTCTTTAACATACGTTTCCCGTGGGGATTTTTCTTTTCATTGTCAATTTCTCTTGTGCCCCCAGTTGTGTCTCAAAGCCCAGCCGGAGCTAACCTGGAGATGCCGACTGCCGGGCGGGCCGCACACGTTGCAGGAGGCGCTCCGCGGACACTGGCCCCTGAGGCGCTGAGCCTGGGCTCCCGTGTGAGCAGCGACAGCAGCACCATCGGTCATGCCCCACCCCCAGAGTCAGGTGCCACATTTACCTTCTGCTCTCCAGTGCACTCGGTGTGAAATACACTACTGTGAGAGAACAAAAGCCCTTAACACCAGTTACTTAGGAATGACTTCTTAAATTATAATTATGTTTTCCTTTCTTTGATTCAGTTAAAGTACTTTTGGAAATATCATCATGTTTGTATTGGTTACATAGTTGGGACTGTATTTCTAAGTCATTGTCACTTGTTGTCACATCAGCTGATGTGTGGGAAGCGCTTAGAAACAGTACCTGATAACATAGTAATAAGTCCTCAGTTAGTGTTAACTATCACTGTTGAAGTTTCCTGTGGGGCTGCATTAGGTCACTTTGTTGCTGCCCTTGAAAGAAGGTGTCCTTATCAAACTTTGACTGTGGTTGTGACTAGATTGACCATATATACGTCCAGATTTTTGTATTGGCCTGATGACAATGAGGAGAGTGTGTTTAAAACTCTCTTCCTTTTAACAACATAATGACTTGGTAAATTATTCTGATGTCTTCTTTTTGTTCCTTTTTACTGCCTCCTGTCCTTTGACTTTGTTGTTATAACAATTTGGTGGACGAAGAACTGGCGACCAAGGCGTTAAATCAGGTTTTCAGTTCTCTCTCATTTCTGTTTGCTAGTCTTCAGTGGCGGATTCGTAAACGTGTTGAGCTATTACTCTGTGCCGCCATCTGTCCTGAGTCCTTCATAAGAATTAACTCACTTGATCCTCACACTGACCCTTGGAGATGGAGAGTGTAGTATTGACAGGTGGGCTGGGCGTCAGTGAGAAGACACAAGAGTCACAGCTGTTGTGAGATTAGATTATGTTTCTAATGAACTGAAAATAGTTTTATCGGAGCTGAGCTAGCTCCTCAGGAAGGGGCAGATGCACATTTTTTAGTGTCCCTTTCTTAACACTTTCGATGCCCACGTGGACATACAGCTGCCAGTGCCAGCCCGCACAGGGTGGGTCTCACCCAGTGGCGAAAGAATTTTTTGGTTATGCCTCTAAACTTCTTGTGCTCTGGTGTATATTACCATTTTGAAAGAACTCATATTGAAGTCTCTAAGCTTTCCTTTAAGGGAATATTTACTGATAATTGTTTCTCCTGATCTTAAACCAGTCTCAGCATCTGCGGGGCCCATCTTTATTCCAAGGACAGGAAACAGAATCAGGGGATCTGTAGAGTATCCATATATCTTGTACTGTCTGGAAAGCCTATATTCCTGCAGCTTACACCGTGACTCTACTAATGAGTGGGGTCTGAGGACTGTGACCACAAACGCATTTCCCTGCCAGTCATGATCTCCATTATGTATACGGAGCAGTTAAGGCACAAACAGGTTAAGTCCCTTAACTTGCCCAAAGTCACACAGCAGATGAGTGGCAGACTAGGGAATCATAAGTAGTCTCCGGAAACCATTCCATTAACACATGCTTTTGAATCTGTAGTAGGGTCAAGTTGGAGTGTAAAATAAAGCCAAGAGATAAATTAAAATATAATTTTAAGAAACAAATAAACCTGGGGCATCTGGGTGGTTCAGTCAGTTAAGCATCTGACTCTTGGTTTCAGCACAGGTCATGATCTCAGGGGGTGGGTCGTGGGATCAAGCTCTGTGCTGGGTGTGGAGCTTGCTTGGGATTTTCTCTCCCTCCTCTCTCTCCCTCCCTCTGCCCCCACTCACACATGCACACTCTCTCTGTCTAAGAAAAAATAATAAACACACAAATAATCCAAAAGAAGGGCAGAAAAGGAGGAAGAGGGCAACAGCCATCACCACCGGAGGGAATATGTCATATTAATAATAATCACTCTAAACCCAACTATATCTACTCCCATTAAAAGGCAGAAATTGTCAGAACAGATAAAAAAAAAAAAAATCAAGACCCAGCCGTGTACTGTCTGGGAAGTATAGTTTAAATATAAATCCACAAATGGATTGAGAACAAATGGGGAAAGAGACACAATGCAAACGAGAAGCATAAGAAGGCTGGTGATCCAGTATGGTTCAGACTTCAAGACAGGGTCTTCCCAGAGACGCTTCATGGTGCCAAACAGTTCATCAGGGAGACACGGCAATCAGAATACATTGTGCATATTTGCTACTAACAGAGCTTTCAAGATAGGAGGTAAAAATGGAAAGAGTTAAAGAGAGAAATAGACTTTCTATAACCATAGTTGAAGAATATAACACCCCTTCTGTGCAGTTGATAAAACATCTAGACAGTTAAATAAAATTTAAAAAAAAAAATGTAGACCGAAAATGAGTAAAGCAGATAATCTGAACAATGCTATCAACCACGTTGACCTAGTTGACCTTCAGGGAACACAGCACTTGATACCTGCACAATACGGATTCTCAAGCGTACACGATATGTTCGTTGAGTTATAAAATACATCGGGCTGTCATATGTCTCAAATTTAAAATAATTCCATTAGGAATCAGTGAAGGCATCTGGGGTTAGAGTTTTCTTAGCTAAGTGTTTAACTGCAGATTCAGTTTCTGTCATAGACACAGGGCTGTTGAGGTTTTCTACTTGTTGAGTGAACTTTGTTAGTTTGTGTCTTTCAAAGAATTGGTGTATTTTGTCTACGTTGTCAGGTTCATTGGAATATAAGTGTTCATAATGTTCCTTTATTCTTCTTTTCACACCTGTATGATCTCTAATGATGCTCCTCTGTCATTTCTGAGGTTGGCACCTTCTGTCTGTCTTTTCTTTTTCCCCTGATCAGTCTGGCTAGAGTTTGATCAATTTGATTGGTCTTCTCAAAGAACCAGCTTACAATTGCACTGGCTTTGTTCGTTGTTTTCCTGTTCCCTATGTCACGGACTTCTGCTCTGGTCTTTGTTATTTCCTTTCTTCTGCTTACTTTGGTTTTATCTTGCTCTTCTCTTTCCAGGTTCTCAATGTGGAAGGTGAAATAATCGATTTCAGACATTTTTCTTTCCTACTGGATTTTAGTACAAATGTTCTTTTTACCTTTTGCTGCATTCCATGCATTTTGGTGGATTGTGTCATTTTCATCATGTTCTAATACTGACTACTACCCCCCAGCTGTCTCATTTGAAATCACTCATCATCATGTGTCTGTTATCGTACATTACTTCAGCACCACAGATTTGGGGGTTTTCCACGGCTCTGTTACTGATTTCTAATTTAATCCCATTGTGGTCAGAGAAAATACAGAACCTGAATTCTTTTATATTTGTCGAGCCTTGTTTTATGGTCTGTGATATGGTCTCTCTGGATGACTGTTCTGTGTGCACTGGGAAGAATGTTTATTCTGCTGCTGTTGGGTTGAATGTTCTGTGTAAACCAAGTCAGGGTAGTTGTTACTGTTGTTCAGATCCTGTCTGTCCTTACTAGGTTTCTCAGTACTTGTTCTGCTTCAGGAGGAGAACGGAAATCTCTGACCATAATTATGGATTTGTCTGTTTCTTCTAGCGATACTACTGGTTTTTGTTTCATGCATTTTGAAAGCACTCTTGTACATAAATGTGTCAAGTCTTCTTGATGAACTGGACTTTTTTGTCTTGTGAAATGACCTTCTTTATCCCTTGTACATTCTCTGCTGTAAAATACACTTTGTCAGGGTGCTGGGGGAGCTCAGTCAGTTAAGCGTCTGCCTTTGGCTCAGGTCATGATCTCGGGGTCCTGGAATCGAGCCCCGCATCAGGGTCCCTGCTCCTCAGGAAGTCTGCTTCTTCCTCTCCCTCTGCCTCTCCCCTCAGCTCATGCGCTCTCTCTGTCAAATGAATAAATAAAATCTTTTTAAAAAATAAAAAATAAAATACACTTTGTCTTGTATTAATGTATTCACTGCAGCATTTTTTATTAGTATTAGCCATGTTGTATCTTTTCCACCTTTTTACTTTTAATCTGGGTATGTTAATATTTAGAGTGGGCTTTATTTTAGTGGTTGCTTTGGGGCTCATGGTATACACATTAAATTGTTCACAACCCATCTTCTGGAAATATTATACCACTTCATGTATAGTGTAAAAACCCAACAATAGGGTACTTTTGCTTCCCCCTTCTGGCCTTTGTTGGCTTATGTTTTCCTTCTACATATGTCGTAAATCTCACCCTATGCTGCTGCTGTTCTCATGTAGGTGGTGGTTATCTCTTCACCTGTTTACCCATGTAGTTACCTCTTCCACTGCTTTTGTTCTGTTTTGTCAATTCATCTAGGATCATTCTCCTTCTCCCTGCATGAGTTCCTTGACTAGTTCTTTTCCCATGGGTCTAGTGGTGGTGAAGCCTTTCTGGTTTCGTGTGTCTGAAAATGTCTCTGTTGTCCCTTCCTGTTGCAAGGGTATTCTGCAGAGCATAGAATTCTGGTTGGCAGTTTCATCGTTCAGTACTTTAAAGATGTTGCTCCACCGTCTTCTCAAGGCACTGTTTCCAACAAGGAATCTGCTGCTATCTTTGGTTTGTTTCCAGCACAGCGTCTCTCTGGTTGCTTGTAAGATGTTCTGTCTCTCTCTCTCTCTTTATTTTAATATTTTATTTATTTGAGAGAGAGAGAGCACATGAGAAGGGGGAGGGTCAGAGGGAGAAGCAGACTCCCCACCGAGCGGGGAGCCCGATGCGGGACTCGATCCAGGGACTCCAGGATCATGACCTGAGCCGAAGGCAGTCGCTTAACCAACTGAGCCACCCAGGTGCCCCTCTTTTTTTTTTTTTTTTTTTTTTAAAGATTTTATTTATTTATTTGCCAGAGAGAGAGAGAGTGCAAGTGCACAAGCAGGGGAAGCAGCAGGCAGAGGGAGAAGCAGGCTCCCCACCAAGGAGGGAGCCTGATGTGGGGCTCGATCCCAGAACCCTGGGACCATGACCTGAACCGAAGGCAGATGCTTAACCCACTGAGCCACCCAGATGTTCTCTTTATCACTGATTTCCATGGTTTGAGTATGTTATGCCAAGATGCGCTGTCCTTGTGGTTCATCGAGCTTCTTGGATTTGTATGTTTACAGTTTCCATCAAATTGAAAGTCTTCCCTCC